AAAGCAGTTCCTTTTGATATCAGTAATGCCTGGAGAACTTTAGAATTTAGAAGAGGTTAGGAGGAAAGTGGTGGATCTTGGTTAATAGCATAAAGGACACCTTATGGTGCATTTTAAGGTACTTCCTTAGGAAATCACAGTACCGTTAAGAGATTTAGGATGGGATTTTCTGAGAAATACTGTTTGTGACTTGTACTGTGAGTGACTCTATTACCTACCTGATTTTTATGGCCCATGGAATACTGGTTGCCTATGGGATTGTGGAATGGTGCCAGGTGATTAATTAAAACATAAAACAAAGCATTTCTAAGCACTAAAAAAAAAATTGCTTTGCTTTTTGGAACCCAGTTTGTTGAAGTGAAAGGACTTTGTATGTTTGTATGTTACTGAACATATTTACAGAGGATGAAAACAAGGGAGGAAGAGTTAACATGTCATAGAATAAGTAGCTTCTGTTAAAATAATACTGGTTTCTGATTGTCCTACCTGGTTACAAGACGATAGAAAAACACCTTATCTGTCCTACTGTTCAGATTTCTTGTGATGGTGCAAATAACCAGTGACTTCAAAATTAGATAATGGGAAAGATAACATAGTAAATATTTTTATGCTGTAATATTTTATACAGAATGTCTGCAAACCTGAGAGTGAAACAATGGATGGAAACAATTTTTATGAATTTTAGATATGTGCCTATAGACAGAGTATAATGTTACCTGTTGTGTATTCCCGATGTTTTGTATAACAAAAACACATTCTGAATATTTCCTAAAACATAGAATCAATATTTACTACAGGTTTTGTGCAGTGCTAGCTTTTAGATTTCTCCTACTCTGTATATATCCTTGTAGTCACAGACAGGATTTTGCTCTGGTGAGTTTTATGGTTTTTAGGTAGGAAAAAACCTGTTAAGGGAAAGAACAGGGAAACTTCTCAAAGGATCATTAAGGTTTTACCCAGTTTATCCACCAGGGGGGAAATTATTTTATCACTCTACATAGTCTAGCAGGAAAAAGTTCCCACTCCTATATCACTTATTAAGGAAGTCAATTTCATTGCTGATTTCTGTTTAGTGAGGTAATAGTCATAGAGAACTTAAGTGCAAGTCTTAATTCACTTAGAATTTTCACAATTTCTTAGATTAATTCTCCCTCAGGCCTTCACATCCTAGTTCCTGTTTTGAGGATTGTCTTAATTATAGTGAAATCTAATGGGTCTTCAAATTAAGACTGTATACATTTTGAAATGATCAGATATGTCTAATATTTGACATTTTCTAATTTAAAGGGAAGAAAGGAAGAAAGAACATGGAAACATCTAGTAAACTTCACAAAAGATAGCTGACTCAAAACAAGCACAGGTTTTTTTTTCTATTGACAGTTTAAAAATGAGTATATATTATATGTCTGAGAGAATCAAGAAATATTTTTATCATAGATTTTTTCAGGCACATGCAAAACCAGTATGTAGTACAAAAAAACACCGTGGGGCCTTCATCCTCTGACAGCCACCAACATGTTACAAGTCATATTTCACCACTTCACCCCTTGATTGATTTATAGCAAGTTCCTAACATTTCACTTGTCAATTTCAGTTTATATCTCTAAAGTACAGAGAAGTTCCCTTTTAAATGTACATGCCATAATCATTCCTCTAAACAAAAAACAGTAATTTTTTAATATTATCAAAGCCAATAGACATTCATGCTTCCCCTCTTGTCTAATCGTCTTTTAAAACAAAATAGCTTAAACAGAATCCAAACAAGATTTATGAATTGTGATGCATGATTTGTTAAGTATGTCTCTTAAATATCATCTAAATTTCAGATTTCCTTTTCCATCTATTTTTGTATTCTTTGCCTTTTTCATGTGTATGTGGGAAAAAAACAAACTTTTGTCCTTTACTGCTGTGGTTTTCACATGTTTTGGTCTTAAGAATCTACTTTACAGTCTTACAACATGATGGAAACCTCCAAAGAAGTACCATTTGTATGGGTTGTATCTATTATTATTTATTGTATTTGTAATTGAAATAGGTAATTTAAACTGTTTATTTAAAAATAATAATACTAAAATATTTTAGTATATGTTCATATAATTTTAATGAAAAATAATCATAGTTTACTGAAAAAATGAGCGAGGTGGCACAGTTCTATTTTTGCAAGTCTCTCTAGATTTGTCTGTCTGGTTTCATGGAAGATAGCTGGATTCTCGTGTCTGCTTCGGCATTTAGTCTCTTGCAGTTTCTTGTTTTGATGAATGAAGTATATGAAGAAAATCTGCTTCATATACTAACACATCTGAGATTAGAAAAAGGGAGGGGGGTGTTTTAAGTCTTTTTATTTAACTGTGGGCATTCTTCTTTGATACTACACAAAAACTTGACAGTTTTGGTTCTTAAAGTTTAGTTGCAATGTGCAATCTGAGATCCTACCAATGAGCTTTTCAAAATCTGTTATATTGAATCCATTGGTCTGTCTTGCACTTTGATTGGACCCTTTACCCATGCTTAATTTTGTAACATCAAGCATTCGTCATTTGGAAAATACTGCTTCACTGAGTTATGCAGATCTTGGAAATGTTGATGTTTCATTTTGAAATGTTCAAAAAATCACATTCATGAATATCACCACCCATCACCTTAGAGAAGAGTTTAGCTTCTAGGAAGCTGTAAAGCTCATGATGGCAGATAAAAGTTTTCCAAAATTATGATTTTTCCCTGGAGTGCTCAAACTGTATCATTAGCAACAAATGCTGTCAGTGTTTTCCTTGATGTGACAAGCTTGCTTCATTTATTTTTGACAAAATATTTGCCAAAATCCAAACCTGAATAAACATAGTTTATTAAATAAAAATGGCATTCCGTTGAAAAGCAGCTTATTCAGTGTGCATGTTGAACAGTTCAGAAGTGCTTTTCCTTGAGATAATTGTGGTACATTTGCTTTATATGTTACTTCCAATTTCATCACACAGAATATTAAAAAGATGTATATTTAAATATCAAGACCTAATCAAATTTATTATTTTACTTCATCAAGGATGGTCTTCAGGGAAAAAACTTACTTGTTTACTCAGGGGAACTTGTTTACTGTGAGTGCGTGGTGGTAAAGGCAGTGAAGACTGCTATATAGCTGGGTACCACTACTCCAGCAGTTTTCACCTGCTGTTGCTTTTGAATCATCAGAGCAAATTCCAACACAGTGAAAGAGACAAATTATTTGTTAGTACTTTTATGAAAATAGTTTTGATTTCTTAGACCTTTTGAAAGGGTCTCAGAACTCCCGCATGGTCCATGGACCACACGTTGAGAAATATTGCTGAAGAATTTTTGAATGGTCTGAGTTTTGCTTCTTATATCTTTATGGTGTGATTTAACATGCCCCATTGTCTCTGGTATTTCTTGTAAATAGACCTGATCAGATTAGGTTTGATTTAGTTTTTTCCTGGCAATTCCTTCGTAGTTGGAGTTGGGTTTGTATTTGTAGTATCCATGGATGGTTGTTGCCTAAAGCCATTAATTTATTAAGGGTTGCAACTGATAGTGTTTCAGTCTATCATTCATTCTTTATGTATTAGTAGGAATTCTTTCTAAAGTGAAACTTCATCTCACCAATGATTTGGTTACCCTGAGATAGAGTTTGCATGGATCTCATACAATACAGGCAGGATAAATCCTTGCTTTTTTGTCCAAATAATGATTTGATTCCCTTGTTTCCTCAAAAGGTGATCAGTGGGGTGTTTGTTGTTTGTTTTCGAGTATTATGAGCTCATGGATTTAAATTTGTTTGATGTATTTCAATTAACTGCAGCTAGTATTCTTACTTTGGCAAGCAAGAGCCTCTTCAAGTTGGCTTCTAAGTTCTTTTGATACGACCTCTGTTGCCTTTGATACCTTCCTTGATTTTTTGTTTGACAAGATGTTCCAGATTCATCTTGCACATTTCTTGCCGCAGAACAGAAATCAGCTCCTTTGGGAAGGCCTAGGAGAAATGGTAATTAGAGACCACAGTCTGAGCACTAGGCTATCGTTACTGTTGATTGGTGGTTGTTTTTAGACTTTGTCAGCAGGCAAAGCTAGAAAATATGCATATTTTTAAAAGATAAACTGCATCATGAATTCATACTGATACTTCCATTCAGACTTAGGACCCATCCATCTTTCACTGGTTGTCAATGACACCAAGATAATTACTTATTTCTTTTATCCTATACCACACAGACAACAGTCTCAAAATAACAACACTGCCACTAACAATAGGGTTCTAGAACACAGTTTGTTTTGGTAATTTAAAAAAAAATGGAAATTGAAAACATTATCACAGTTTAGCTAACTGAATTGGTTATCTTAACATAGCCATATTATTGGTGTTTACTATACATTTTGAGACTGTTTTCCTATTTCCCACAACATCAAATTGGCAGATATTTCAACTAAAATAAATAAGTCAATTTATTGAAAGTATCACACTGTGCATTCATTGTATTGCTACAACAAACTTAATTGACAAATTTAGTGTAATGACAGTAAATAATGGACTAGAATTTTCTTGTTCTTTTTTATTACATAAACATTATCATTTTTGTTTACTACCATATATCAAGTCTATCCCTTATCTATACCTACTCTCATTTCAATGTCAGAAAACAGAAAAAACAACTTAGAGGGCAAGGAATTCCTTTCATATGATACCATGATTTTTTGTTTTCAAGGAATATGCTATGAAACAATGGATCCTTTTTCTTTGTAATAATAGAAAAAGTTTACTGTGACACTTAATTTAAAAAATTGTATTAATATTTTTCTTCTGTGATTTAACATGGATTATATTAGAAAAAAATGTTAGTGATATTTTTGAAGCAATTACTTCTAGATCTGTGGATATATGGGGTACTGTAATCAAGAAAATTATGTAACTAAGAGAAACTGAAGTAATGACCACTATAATAAAAACTGATTTTTACATGTAATATTTAGTGATAATGCCTTTTTCCCACTTCTAGGTTCAAAAATAAATCATGACTGAATCTGCCTCTAGCACAAGTGGTCAAGAGTTTGATGTATTTAGTGTCATGGACTGGAAAGATGGAGTAGGTACATTACCAGGAAGTGACTTAAAGGTATGTTATCCTTTTTAAATAAATTATATGTTTGTACATCTGTGTGTGTTCATTAAAATGAATCTGAATATATATGATACCATTAAAAGCATTCAGCATAATGTAGATTTTATATGGTGTTTAGGCCTCTAAAATTAATTTTCAAGATGATTTGAGGTACTGATGGATTGGCAGACGCCTTTTTCACTTAGGGTAGGGAACTAAGGAATATTTTGGAAGTATGTGCTCATCTTGCAGAAATTGAGTTATGGCTTCAAGGAGGATTATCTCAGTTTTGACTCTGTCATGAAGTCTAATAAATATAGAAATGGTAAGCTTAAAAGACCTTGCTTCAAGTATTTTTTAGAATGAGCTTTGTAATTTTGAGTGACTTACCACACTCCTTGTGCTCTAGTTTACTCATTGAAAAACTGGCTAATGTTATTGTATGTCCACTGTACTTCAACTGAAAATAACAAATAAGGAAATAAATAAAAACTGGATAATGTTAAAATATGGAGTAAACAGAACTATTCTTCTCTTCTTAATTATTTATACTCTAAATAGGGATTTTTATATAATCACCTGTTCAAAAGCTGGTTTTTGTATAGATGACACCTCTCTTCAGAGAGCAACGCCTCAATCTGCTCCTTTTCTGTGTAGTTATGATCCTTCCCCTTTTCTCCAGTCCTATACCTAACTCCAGGACCACATCTGCTGAAACATGGTTATGCAGGCATCCATCTGGGAAGCCAACCACCCCCACCTCTCATTTCTAATTTGCTTTTGCTCTGATCCCTTCTCTGGGTCCTTGAACCTGTGTGTGGCCCTTTAGACTTTGTATCTGTACTTGGTCATTCAGGTGTTTGAACTTCCAATCTCCCTAACTAGCTGTCACTTGGCTTGCTTCTCTCCAGTGTGTGGTGTTCTGGCCTGTCTTGAATAGAAATTCTTGCTCCTTAATACTGGCTTCTGGAATCCAGTCCCTTTTAGTGGCCACTTAACAAGTATCTCAGCCAAGCTTGTCCTACTTCATTCTCAGGGTGAGAGGTAGACATCTGTTGTTGGAAAAATACTTAGATTTTAGTGGGTTAAGTATAATTAAATGCAATGTGCCAACATACCTGTCTTGAGTTTAGCTGAGCAAAAATATTTCAGTGAAGTTTAGTGAAATCTAAAGAAGAGATTTGGTTTTTCATTTTAGTTCTCTGACCTTGAGCAAGTCAGTCAGTCTCCTTGGGCCAATTTCTTCTCTGGTAAAATAAGGAATCGAATACTAAGGATTTTATCTGCTCTAACATTCTTCAAATGTTCATCTGGATTAGATATGATGGAAATAGAGTGCTGAAAGTTTTGAGAAAGAAAAACTGCTTCTAGACTCTGATAATGTCAGCCACATTAGCTATACGAGCTTTGCCAAGTTATTTAAATCCTCTGAGTTTCCGAATCTTTATCTGTAAAATGGGGATATACTATCTATGTCAGAAGGTGGTTCTGAGGATTTAAAAAAATAGTATCTGTAATACACTTAATGAATTGTATCTTTTCTGGTTTTGTGACATATTATGAAACTGCTTTTTTTCCTTGATTGCTTCATTCCCCTATTTTCCTTGTATGTTTTCATCCCTTTTCTTGTCAGTGCTTTGTTCAGTTAGATTTTGACAGTAGAGTGAAGTTTCCACCCCAAAGAAATTACATTGCCTGGAGGTTTTCTAAGAGTGGATTTTAGGAGTTGTTACTTGGTGATCAGGTAATTAAGCCTTTTAGTGAGTATTATAATCTGGGTTATTTCTCTTTTTTTTATTGACATATAGTTGATATACAATCTTTTATTAGTTTCAGGTATACAACATAATGGTTCAGCAGTTACCCATATTATTAAATCCTCACCCCGACTAGTGCAGTTATTATCTGTCAACAAAGGAAGATGTTACAGAATCATTGGCTATATTCTCCATGCTGTACTCATATCCCTGTGACCATCTTATATTATGATTGAGAATTTTTGGGTCCCTTTATCCCCCTCACCCTTTCCTGCCACCCACCCTAATCCTTCCCACATGGTAACCACCAGTCACTTCTCAGTGTCTATGAGTCAAAGATGTGGTTCATATACATGATAGAATATTATTCAGCCATGAAAAAGAAAGGAATCCTGCCATTTGTGTCAACATGGGTGGACCTAGAGGGTATTATGCTAAGTGAAAAAAGCCAGGCGGAGAAAGACAAATACTGTATTTCCATAAATATACTTATTTATGGAATCTAAAAATAAAACAAAACAAAATAATCTGGGGTTATTTTATTTGACTTTTAGACAAATCTAAATCCTAGGTAATTGCTGTGTATCCGGTTCACATTATGCATTGCAGGCAGCGTGATACGCTACTTAAAAAGTTATTTATTTATTTTTATTTTTACGTATTTAACTTATTTTTTATTAAGGTATCATTGTACAATCTTATGTTCAGGTTTCATGTGAACAACATTGTGGTTACTCATTCCCCCTATTATCAAGTCCCCACCACATACCCCATTACAGTCACTGTCTGCTATTATAGTGCAATGCTATAGAGTCACTACTTGTCTTCTTAAAATTATTATCTACTTTATAACCCTTTTTGTCCAAGGAGAGTCAGAGACTAGCTACTTGATTATATTGCCTAAGATTTCTGATTCACTTGCTTCTAATAATAAATTAGAGTTGCTTAACAGCTCTAATTGAGAAATTGATGTTTCACAAAATTAAGATATTAGAAAGAACTTTGAACAAATCATGAAATTTACTCTCTCAGATCACATTTTGTCTATTTTACATTATTGAAGCTTCTCCTTTTTTTATTTTTAATGGGCATAGGCATGTGGATTTCCTAGTAAATGATGTGCTATCCTAAGACAGCTACTAAAGTTAATTTAGCAAATACAGTAAACTAATATATGTAAGCCAATTTCTTATCATGGAAACAGGTTTTTATATCCTTCAGCTTATTGTTGTTTTAAAAGAACTTTTCTCTGTAAAACCTCAAGACATGGCCAATCAAGTTATATCACTCTTTTGCTTAAAATCCTTTAACAGTTCCTGTATTTTTCATGGTAAAGTTCACACCCTTTAAGTTTACCACAGATATTTTTGGTGGTCTGGCCCCTACTTCCCTCTCCAGCTGCATCTCATTCCACTGCCACCCTGTGTCTTTTTCAAAAGCCCAACCAGCTAGTTGAAGCCTTCACACCTTGTTCCCTTTTTTACTGTTCCCTGCAGCCGGGATCTCCTTGCCCCTCCACCCTAAGGGCTAACCAACCCTCATATAAAACAGAGTGCAAGAAGAACTCCTTGTTTGAATGACTCAATAGAAAGAATAGAGAATTATTCTCTAATTCTAATTATTCACTTTACCTGCATCTTTTTTATTTAATCCTCTTATTTAATCCTTTTGAGGTAGTTTCTTATCACTTTTGTCAGCTTGCAGATGGAGAAACTGAGGCTCAGGCTGGTTAAATCATTTGAGTAAGGTCCAACAGTTAGTTATTGGCAGGACTGGATCTTAAAACCAGGCTTTTCTTAAATTAAAATTGATATTCTCTTAATCACTGCTACACTACAGTCTAAAGAGGGAAAACGTTTTTGTATCAAAAGAGATGGAAGGAAAACGTTACAGGAGTTTAACGGAGGTGTTATTTTAGCTGGAGGGATCAGGAAGGCTTTGGGAAGCAGATGTCAACGTGAGCTTCAGGTGCCTGAAAATAGGTCAGCATGTATTGACGACTTTCAGGGCCAGGGACAGGAGGAGGGCAAGTGTAGAGCGTCCAGAAGAGAGACTACCATAAGAAGGTAAGGCAAGTGTCCGCTGGCCCTCTTGAAAATGATGCAGTCATTAACAAGACATTTTGCCTTGGAAACTTTATTCTTGCCTAAGTTTTACTTTAAAAATACAGATTAGCATTTGTAGATTAATTATTGTCAGTGCCAGTCATAAGAACAGGCAGCCAATAAGTAGTGGTGGAAAGGTGTGTGTGTGGTAGGGCTCCCTGTTCCTCAGCAATCTCTCTACCTGAACTTGTAATGGTGTCTGAAATTTGTTTACAGAGAATTATTCCTCGGGGTCATAACGATTTGGTCTTTTGAAGTCCCTCAGTAAAATGCAGATACACTCCTGACAGTGATAGCATTGTGTCTAGTAAAAATAGTTGCCACTTAACCAAGAGCGAGGCCCTGTAGTAGTGATGCAGAAACCTAACTGGAAAATTCACTCTACTCTTAGTGCATGGTTTTGCCTTGTCTTGATTAATGTTCAGAACAGTTTAGTTACCAAATATCATTGCCCTTAAAACAGATTGGCAATTAGAGCTTACATTTCAACACTGAAAGGAATAAAAATAGTAACCTCAGCAGTGTGTTTTAATGATCTGTTATTAAAGACAGGCAATACAAATATACTCTGCCTCTACAGGCAAAAATAAAGAGAATTAAATCAATTAAAGTTAGTTCAAGCCAAGCCAAACAAATAAATGAAACCTTTGCCATCCCTTACATATATATTTCTGGCATAATTGTTTTCTGACTGACCTGGATGTATTATCCACTAACACAAAAAGTTACAAGGTAAGCTGATTATGTTTGATTTGCTTAGTAAATCCCTTCTGTAAAGTTTATAATTTTGATACTCTTGGTTGTATAATGAAGTCTCTTGCTACATTTTTATACTGCTTTTTAGGTGTCTCGGTTAAAAGAACCAGTAACTCAAAAAAAAGAAATAAAAGTAATTATGTCAAGTTTCCATGGTTCCAGATCCATTTGTAAAAAGTGTTTTATGAGGGGGAAAAAAAGTAATCAGGAAATGTGTCTGTCTTCCTGGAATTCCATCTGTGGAACTCCAGTAATGTTATCAGCACCTAACAATCTGTGTTGTCCAACATTTTCTACAACAATAGTAATATTGTGGAAGACACAGTAAATCCCAATTGAAAAGCCAGAAAAAAAAAAAAGATTCCCATGTCTTTTTGCACATAATAGGATGCTTTGAAAACATTTTGAGATAAAAGTAACTTTGATTAGAATAGATGTTCTTTACTTTTTCAGGGTTATAGGTTACCTTTGAGAATATGATGAAATTTATGAACACTGTCTCCAGAAAAATATATATGTGCCCATGCCATAATTTTGCATATATTTCATGGGATTCATCCACTCTAAAGTCCATCCAGGGATCCCTGGCTTACAGGCATTAACTGTGTCCCTGAATGCCATTGCATCTTACTGGCAATAAATCTTAGGAGAAGCAAAAGATAAGTGGGATTAAATGTTGTATTTTGGAAATGCAACTTTTTAACTTTGATAGTATTTGAGCCTGAAGCTGAATAGGTCTGAATTTTTGTTTGAAGATTCACTCAGTGGTGTTCTCTTTCTCAGTGTTTGAAGTGGAGGGTGGTTTGCAGTTTGGAAACTTAAGCCACCGGAGACTTTCTGTGTAATGTAAATGTTTGGTGATGTTTCTCACATTTTTATTTGTGAAATAAGTATAAATTAGTGCTAACATATAATAAAAGTGAAATTAATTACTTGGACTGAATTATAAAGTTCATGACTTTTTTTTTTAATTTCCATTCAGAATTGATTTTCTAGTATACTCTTTATTACCATTAATTAATAACCATTACTGCTTGTTTTTTCTATTCTTGCCCAGTAGATGGTACTGTCAGCTTTATTTTGAAATATGTTCTGTTTTCAGGGTTGATCATTTTAAAATTTATTTTCTTCCAAAAAGTAAAGTTATTTTTAGCTCTTTCCCCGCCAATTAACTTCCTGCCACCTCCTAGACAGACATTTTTAGGTGAACACACTAGGTATGGTATACACACATTTCCTGGGAACTTGTATCTGGAATATGGAGTAGGGAGAAAACATTTTCACTTTCCTTAACTATTTCAACTCATTCAGTCTAGAACACTTAATAATTGTGGATTATGTGCAGAAAATGATTTAAGGTGCTGTTTTTACCTAGTGGAAAGAATAATTGTTAGTATATTTTTGCATAAGATTTTTTTTATGAGTTGCAGTCTGAATCTAGTTTGGTAAAATAAATCATAGTCTATTGGCATGTTGACCAAATAGATTTTTTAAATTGGGAAAGGGAAGGCCTTATTTAAATGAGTCATATTTGCATGCTCATATATTTCTGTGAAAGATCTAAACCCTAAGGAAAAAATTTGATAATCCTTTTCAATTGTGAACTTTCTAGCTCTTAATCACCTGTTAAAATTAGTGGATTCTTCTGTGGTATCCACTGATGGACAACTACAACTGATGGACAGTGCCTGTATTGGGGTATGGGTAGGGATTTGATAATATGGGTAAATGTAGTAACCACATTGTTTTTTCATATGAAACTTTCATAAGAGTGTATATCAATAATACCTTAATAAAAATTTTCAAAAATTAGTGGATTCTTAATGTCATTCTATTTTTTGGAAAAATAGAAGAAAAACAGAAAACTTTTAATTTCATCAATATGAAAGTAAAGGCAGCTGCTTCACTGAACGAGGCCCCTACACATAGGTAGTGGTTAAGCCTTCCACACGTGTGATACAACCAGGCTGTTGTGGAAATAGCCTTTTGGTTTGAAGCTTGTCGTAGAATGAGAGGAAATTTTCAGTATTTGGAGTCAAAATGTCCATGAAATCAAAATGCCCTTATTTTGGTAAAATTGGTCTGCAGCAAGTAGACCTATTCAGACGTCATAGATACTACCAGTCATTTTGGAGAGTTGGAGGTGAATATGAATATATTGAGGAATTCTGAAGAGCAGTGAAAGAAAGAGGAAGTGTAGAGCTGGGTCATAAGGCTCATGCTTCAGCCTTGCTCATTCACCTCTTGGAATGTACGGATATGGATATGCAAGTCATTTTTTTCTGGAATAGAGATATTCTTTCTCTTTGAACTAGATGAACTTGGGGGAGAGAAGTTGATTCCTGGGAAAACAGTATTTCTCCTTTTACTAAATTTGATTATTAAACAAACTGTAATATGAAATAAGAAAAAAAGTCTTAGCAAAAAAATGGTGTTTGAAATTCAGGCCATATAAGAGCTGGCAACTATAGAGAGTGTAAGGCTGGTTGCTTATATATTTAAGCATACCTTGCTGCTATGTTCTATTCCCCCTTCCCTGAATTCTAAAATTAGTAAAATGTAAAGAACTTATATCGGTGGAAGGCTTATCTAGATATGACTGCTTAAGTGAACTTTTAAGACATAAATAATTTGCTTAAAGATTATGTCAGCTATTAAGTGATTACCATTTTGAGCACTTTTGTGAATTTTACCTCTTTTTATCTTTCTGTTGCTAGTTTCGGGTAAATGAGTTTGGAGCACTGGAAGTTATTACAGATGAGAGTGAGATGGAAAATGTTAAAAAAGCAACAGCTACCACAACTTGGATGGTACCAACTGCACAAGAGGGTAAGAATGGGCGTCTTCATTGTTACTTCTTTCTTTTGTGAGTTAAAATAAGAAAAGCTAAGGTTTTGTAATAGCCTGAAACATTGAAAATCCTGGGTGATCTTCAAGTCACATGTTCTTAGGTAAATTTCTATAACAAAACTGGTATGGGACCAGCTTTTATATTTGAAAATTAGTATGAACTGTCTTCTTTCCTAATGCCAGATCTGTAATAGCACAAGGTTAATTAGAAATTGTCAAGTAAATCCATGTTATAATAGCCTACCCAGGTGATTTAGTCAAAAGCCTGCCACTTTTTTCTCATCTACTCCAATGGTTATAACTAACACCCATATGCTGATGACTCCTAAATCTATATCTCCAGCCCCGACCTCTCCCCTGAGCTCCAGGCCCGCATTTCCACCCGCCTACTGGACATCTCCACCTGGATGTCCCACAGGTACCTCAAACTCCACGTCTGAAATGCGATTCATTTGCTATTTCTTTCTCCCCTTCCCCCAAATCTGCTCTTTTTCTGTAACCCATATTTCGGTTGATGGTAGCGCCATCTACCCAGTAGACAAACAAGAAAACTAGGAGTCATCCTGAATTTGTTCTCCCCCCAACCCCATAGCCTGTTACCTAGTCCTCTTGGGTTTTATTTCCTAAATACATCTCAGATCTGGCTTTTCTACTAATGATCACTGCTGCAGTATAGGTCCCTATCAACTCTCACCTTAACTATCAAAGATGTCTCCTAAAAAATTACTGTGCCTCTGATTTCACCTAATTTATCCTGCACACTGAAGTCAGAGGAACTTATGTAGATTGCTTATCTGACACTTTACCAATTTCTTATTGACTCTTTAGCAAAACACAGAAAGATCTGGGTGGCATGCACCCACCTACTTGCTTTGTCTCTTTCTTCTCTATTCTGTTCTTCATATGCTGTGTTCTGTCAGTGCCAGCAGCACTGAGTTCCATGTAATTCTCCCAACACATCATATGGTTTCATGCTCGCTTGCCTTTGCTCATGCTTTTTCTTCTGGCTAGGATGCTATTTCTCTGTCTCATTGGTGATTCCTCTTTGGCCTTTAAAACCCTGTTGAGGCTTTATACCAGACAATCCTTCTCTGACCTGGCCCTAGACCCAAGAAATCCCTTCTTCCTCCATACTACTTCTAGAACTTGTTCATGCTTCAATTATTGCATGTATCACATTTTATTATAAATACTGTTTTTCTTGCCTATCTTCTCTTCTAGACTGTGAGCTCTTTGGGTAAGGCCTGTACTGTCATTATCAGTGTCTAGTGTAAATTGGTGCCTAATAGATGTTTGCTGAATGAATGATTAGCCTAACAATTTAGGCCAAAGGAAATATGAGTTCCTAAATGATTTGGGTAATTATGACTTAGGAGACCTGCTACATTAAAAGTAAAATAGAGAGATGTTGATTTACCCAAGGAGATCTGCTACATTAAATGTAAAATAGATGTTGATTTAGCCAATTGAGTAAAACAAAATCACTCTTCAAAAGGTTGTAAACATAGAATAACTTAGATAACCACTTCTAAATTTTGTTGAGGAAAGATCTATAAAATAGGATTCTATAGATGATTTCATTTTCTGAATTTAGTGACTAATGAAGTTTTCTTCATTTTTACTTGAACTTTATAGAAAAAGCCTTGGTCAGGCTTTTGCTTATCTTGTCTACAGAATATTTTTTTGTTATGTAAATGATTTTAGTGATTCCTGCCAAGCCCATCCTCTTCTCCTTCCCAAATGCTACAGTTTGATCAATTCATTCATTCAACAAACATTATTCTTCTACTGTGTTGCTAACAAAATTATTAGAAGAAAAAGTTTAAATGTAATTTGGAGTATTTTGTGTCATGGTTTTGATTTATTTTTTCTTCTTTTCATCTTCTAGTCTTTTCAGAGAAGACTGGAATGCCTTTCAGGCTGAAGGATCCAGTGAAAGTAGAGGGGCTTCAATTCTGTGAGAGCTGTTGTCAGTATGGCAATGTAGATGAGTGTCTTTCTGGAGGAAACTACTGCAGCCAGAATTGTGCTCGGCACCTCAAAGACAAGTAGGTTTTTGCCCCCTTCCATTTATAAAATGGGTTTTAGAGTCCAAGGTCATGGTGCTTGGGAATACTGAGGCTCTCTGACATCTGTCATCCATTCATGCCTCTTTTTTAAGAGACTTTTCTTATAGAGACATATGGACCCTAATCTTATTGCTAGACCTTGTGACTTTGTTGGTCATGCCTGATTTGAGTTTTACTGCTTAAGTCCTACCAGCAATACAAGTCCTTCCTCTCTCTCTTGCCCTTTTTTTTTTTTTACATTGATTTATTTCTCCCCAGCTCAAAGTATTTAAATTTCTTGGGCTACATGGACATTTTGATGATAGTGATATTTATGTAAACAGAGTTTTGTTTATATCTTGGGGGTTCTTAGGTAACTCACTTAAAACTCCATGAATGAAATCAAGCTTTCATTCCTAGGGAATTAAGTGAATGAAGATAGCCATAGTGGGCAGTGTAATGAGTTATGGTAGTACTGATCTCCAAGCCGACTGAAGGTTACAGACAGGGATGTCAGCTGTGACTGCTGGTGTGTGACTATTGCCATTTGGGGACAGTATGGCAAAGTTAAACATATCATCAAGAAAGGTGTATTTCTTGCATATAATTCTATACTACAAATAAATGATTTGATATTTATATTTTAGTGAGGTTTCCCATGTATTTTAATCAGCACAGGCTTGGGAATTGTCTGTTTTTGTTGGCCAACTGATATTTTACAGAGATTACACTTGGCCACAAAAAAAAGGGGAAAAGCTTACCCATGGCCTTTTTCAGCTGGACTTGTCATTCTCAGTAATTACTAGATCCTTTAAAACTGCTCTGAGGGCTAAAATACCTCTAAATAGTTGATTATTTTATTAGTATGGATGACAGATGTGAAAGACAAATAATTTTAAACCTGTAAGAACCTGTTTCATATACATAGTGTTGGCCTCCTTTTGAAATTAATATTTATAATCTACTTTCCATTTTCTACCTTGACAATGTCATATGTGCTAATGGTTTCAAGTGTCCCTTAAATATGGTATTCTAATGCTTATGTTTTTTCCTGGTGGTTAAGTATTTTTCCTTGGGAAGGTGATTTTTAAAGAAGTTTTGCATTGATAATGAACATGTAGAAGTTTGATAGGTATGTCTCTTGTCACTGTTTTGGGTTTATAAACACAACAGAGATCAGAAGGAAGAAAGGGACATGGGTGAAGACAATGAGGAAGAAGATCTGAAGTGTAGTCGGAAGAAAAAACCAAAATTGTCACTGAAAGCTGACTCCAAGGAAGAAGGAGAAGAGAGAGATGATGAAATGGTTAGTATCTCTCATGTGACCACCAGGGAACACAGGGAAGCATTGTAAGTGGGTAGCACCACTGTCAGACTTCAAGTGCTGGTTCTATGACTCTGGGTTACCATCAACAAGTTATCTGCTTACCTTCTCTCTGTATTGCTGTACGCATGTAAAATGGGAATAATAAATTATAGTGCCTGTTGCTCAGGGTGAAGAAGTAGGAGGTCTGGAATTTATTACTGGAGTGAGAGACGCAATGGAAAAACCTTCAGTTTTGCAAATGAATCTTAAATTCCTCTTGATAGCAAAATGCCAATCCTATTTTGGTAAATTGTAGACAGATCTCATCAAATTATGGGAGTAGGCAGACAATGGCAGAGAAATGTCAGGCATATAAGGGGAAAACTAATTCAAAATGCGCTAAATAAATATCTTACTCCTAAAGTATGTATTAGTGGTTCTATATGCAGAGACCTTTGAGATCTTGGAACATTTCCCTTAACATCAATATTGAGTAGTGATTATTTGCTAGTCACTATTCTGGGAGCTTGGAATGGAGGGACAAATAAGACTTCAGAGGACAGGGTCTATCAGGAACATTACATTCTTGTTAAGGGGACATTAAATAAACAGGAGAAATGTCAACCTGTGATAAATGCTGTGCTGAGAATTACAAAACGGAGTAGGGTTGTCTGACTGCTTTCAGTTAAGTCTCCCAGAGAAGGTAGCATAAACAATATGACCTGAATAATCAGAGTGAGGAGCCCTCTAGGTGGTGGAATGGCTGGGGAAAAGTTCCTAATGTTAAGAACATGGGTAGCATGTTTGAATAAAAAAACACAATATAGTTGAGCCTTGTGTATTAGGGAAGAGTGGAGTAAGATGACACTAGTCAGGTCCAGGTCACACAGGACTTTATGGTAAGCCAGAGTCACTGATTTTAATTTTATCTTGTGTGTGAAGAGAAGACACTGGGAAGTTGAAGGCAAGGGAATACTTTGGTACGATTTACGTTTTGAAATGCTAGCTCTGTCTTTGACATGTGAGAGCAAGACTAGATCAGGGAAACTGTTGGAAGCTCATTACAGTAGGACTAGCTAAGAGAGGTGTGTATGGTAGAAGTCGCTAGATTTGGGATAGATGAAGGGGGTAGGATCAGAGGGTCTGAGGGAAAGAGAATTAGGGATAATTTAGATTTTTAGCTTGAACGATTGACTGGCTAATGATGCCACCTGATGAAAATGAGAAGACAAGACTTGCGTATATAAGCTAGAGTTGTTTGGCGTCATGAGCTTGAGATACTTATAAGACATCCAAGTGAGGATTCCCAGGAGGCAGTGGGAAGAGGTCAGAGCTGGAGATACGGACTGGGGATATTTGGCAGGCAGATGATTACTAAAAACCTAGGGAGAGTGATTGAGAAGGGCACTGGATTGAAGGAGATGTCAGCAAAAAACTGAGGAAGAAGGGCCAGTGAGGTATGAGGAAAATCAGAACAGAATGGTCAAGGAGCTAAGAGAAGAAAGTGCTTCACAGAGGCTGGAGCAGTATCTGTGCTATTCCAGAGTGTAATTCTTAGAAATGTTCTAATTTTGTGATGACCTCAGGCCAAAAGCAGCACAGTGCTGTGCTCAAGTGACCTATATTCTTATTTTTCTAAAAACTTACAAAGTGAAATTGAAGAAAAGTACAAAAAAAAAATGATACTTTCCGTCAGGTCTCCAACTTTTCATTGGAGCCAATTTCATGAACTTTAAAAATTCATAATTTTCCTTTCTTATTGCAGGAGAACAAACAAGATGGAAGAATCCTGAGGGGTTCGCAGAGAGCCCGAAGGAAAAGACGAGGTGATCCGGCCGTATTAAAGCAGGGTGGGTTGAGGCAAGAAAGGTTTTACTTGTAACTTTGTGAAATAGAAACTGTTTCACACAGGTAGACATTTTAGTCTTAATTGTAATGCCCGCTAGGGCAGTTAAAGCATTGCTTTGGGTTTTGCTTTGATTAACTATTGTCAATGAAAATGAGGGTTTTGAAGTAGATAAGGAAAAGAATGGAAATTAGTAACTTTGGAGTAGTGTCAGGACAAATAAAAACATCTTCCTTTATTTTTCCATCAAGTAAGTTTCTTCTACTTCTACACTTTTACTGAAAGCTGCATTCTTGTTCATTTCCTAAGATTGTAAGTTTTTAATGTTTCTTCTCAAACCACAGCCTCCTGACATGGTACCTTTTTTTATTTTTGTTGTTCCTCAGGCAACACTTGATTCTCTGGGGAATCCAGTCCTCAGGTCCTTCATTTAACACTGGACTGGCTGAACTTCCCACCTTATTCAGCATGGATCTTAGGGTCATTTTCTCAGTGCCCTGCACTGGGCTGTATTCACAGGACCTGCCCCATCTGCCTGGCCAGCCCCTCCTGTTGGGTCTCTCCACGCCACACAGCCCCCTGCTGACCCACCCAGCAATGTTGTCCCCACAAAGAGGGCCGTGAGCCCAGGGTGCCTCTTTGGTGCTTGGATGTATTCCTCGATGTTCATCTCATAATTCCTCAAAATTTGAACTGTTCCTCCCTGCCTAAAGCACACAGCCTTTTTACATTCTTGGGGAGATGACCTTGTATTTTGATGTCACTGAGATTAAAGGGAATAAATTTCTGAGTTAGTCTGCACTGTGCTTCAAAAACTTCTTTCATCTTTCTCTCCCTTCCTTCTGTCTTCTCTCAGGGCCCTGACTCTTCTGACACCTTATTCCTTCAGTCAGTTTTCTCTCTTAGGTTTTTGGATTTCTCTTTTCATTATGAGCTTTATCTTAGACTGTTCAAATCTCATCCCCAAAATACCTTTCCCCCAGTTCTGCTACCCATCAAGCTAGTATTCTCTTCCTTTCATTTCTATCATTTGTCAAAGTAATTCAAAATAAAGTTGATACTAGCTGGCCCCGTATCTTTATCACATTCATTTTCTTTCACTGCTCAAAGGCTGGCCCTCACTGTATTGACCACCTCCCTCTACCCGTTTCCTCCAAGATTAGCACCATTCCCTAATCATATAGTGCACTGGCCTTTTCTCAATTCTCAACTTATTAATCTGTAAGGAAAAATTTTTGGAGCATCCTGCTTCGAGAACTGTTCACTTCTTGGAGCTTCCATGATTGTGTTCTGTCTTGGTTTCCTGCTGTGTCTTCTTTATTTACTGTAAGTTCTTCTCCTTTTTTTCCTACTGTCCTAACTCTGGGTTACCACAGTTCACTTCTCAGCTCCTGCTGCTTTAGAAGAGGAGCCAGAAAGAGACTGAGAAATACTAGCCCCAGAAGTGCAGAAAAGCCATGTGCAGTGGTAGTTAGGGAAGTGAGAGTTCATGGTGCATGTTGCATATTTTAGATTTTGGAATTTTCTCATTTCAGTCTCACCTGCTTTTCAGGTTTGCCTCCTAAAGGAAAGAAAGCTTGGTGTTGGGCTTCCTACCTGGAGGAGGAAAAGGCTGTGGCAGTGCCAGCAAAGCTGTTCAAGGAGGTATGGGCCCTTGGAGAAGGCATGTCTGTAGGGGCAAAGGATCTGGAATACTGATCTGGAATTAGTATTGTCATTTCTATTGTCTGTTTAGGAATTGTGACTTGGGATAATTTCTCAAGCATACTTTTTTAAATGTGTGTAATTATGTGGGAGGGGTACCCTGAGGGTAGCTATCGCCAATATATACACAATCCTCTTGTGCCATGTGCCTGGACACACACCAAGATAGACAAGCTCTTTTCTCTCAACATTTCCCAGACTTTCACTCATTAATTTTTAAGAGGGATACTTATACCACTGAAAAGCTAATACATACAAAAACTGACATGAAATTTAATGCCAACATCATGGCTTTGGGAGAATAAAAATGAGTTACTGAGGTTTACATAATTTCACAACAAAAAGCTAAAGCAAGTTACTAAATTATTAACTATAATGAAGACTGTCATAATTGATTTAAAATCAGTTAAAAGTACAGACAGCAAGCATAGTTCGGAGTGGAGCTACCCCTGGGCTAAAACTGGGGTCAGTAAACTTTCTGTAAAGGGTCAGATAGTAAACATTTTAGGCTTTGTAGGGCCTCTGGTCTCAGTTGCAGTAACTCAACTCTGTTGTAATGAAAACAGCCATCAACAAAATATGCAAGTGAGTGGACATGGCTGTATTCCAGTAAAACTTCATTTACAAAGGCAGGCGGTGGGCTAGGTTTGACCATAATCTATAGTTTGTTTACCCTGGTTTAAATTATTTAATTATACTTAATCATGGTATGTATAATAAGTCAGCTATCAGTACTTTGTTATACATACATGAAAAAAGGGAGTTTTTACAAAGTGATGAATAGGAAATGTCAGGGTGATTACATCTACATTAAAAACATTTAATTTAAATGTAATAGTAATTACATGAAACTTGTCTATATAATTGTTTTCTATAACTTTGGTCCTTTGCAAAATAGACTTTTTAACATTTTTAAAAAAGGTTTAACGTAGCTAACTACTTGAACCAATAATACATTCATGTAATTCAAAATATGAAAGTATCAGAAGAATATAAAGTGTATATGCCCTTCAGTATGTCAGTATCTCATATGAAATATTGCCTCTCCTGAAGTAATTAATGTCACCAGTTCTTATATTCCCTTCCTAGGAAATTATTTGTACAGATAAACAATATATAAATACACACACAACTTTTCCTGCCTGTTTTAAATCCAGTGATAACATATGCTGCACATATTTTTTTGGACTTTGCATTTTTCTTTAATTTAGTTTGAAAATTATTCCATCTCAGTTCATTGTTTCCATCGTCATTCTTTTATATTAATGCATAATATCCCATCTTACATCTGTTCCATAATAATTAAAGCTATTTCCTATCGGTTGATATATACATCAATATACGACAAGTGTAACAACATATTGACATATGCATGACATACATATATGTATGTATTTATATAGATACACACTCACAAATATTTTGCCATATAAATGTTTTAGTGAATAACCTTGTAACACCTGTCATTTTGCGCATGGGTAAGCGTCTCTGTTAGATAATTTCCTAGGATTAGAATTGTTGAGTCGAAGGAAAAGTTCTTTTTTTAATACCATGAAATTGCTAGAGGTACCCATTCATATCCCTGCTAGCGATAAGTCTTTGTCTGTGTATCTGTTTCCTAGAGCCTTGCCAACACAGTGTTGTCAAACTTTTTTATCTTAACCAACCAGAGAAGTGAAATCGTTTAAGTGTAATTTTACTTGATACGACCCTTAGGGGTGAGGTTGAGCATCTTTTCAAATGTATAACACATTTAAATCCCTTTTCTGTGACTTGTTTATGATCTTTGTCCATTTTCCTTTGGATTATATAGTGATCCTTTTCTTTGGGTTTTTAGGAGTTATTAATGTATTTGGTTAAATAGTCCTTATTTAAGAATGGTAATTATTTACATTTTAGAATATAATACTAAAACTGCTGTCATTTTGCATTTTAGTATCAATCATTTCCATATAACAAAAATGGATTTAAAGTTGGCATGAAATTAGAAGGTGTGGACCCTGAGCATCAGTCCGTGTACTGCGTCCTCACTGTGGCTGAGGTAAGCTTTGCCTTTTATTTTGTCTTTATTTTTTAAAAGAAAGTCATGATGAAGGGGTTTCAAAATAATGAGAAAGCGTGCCATTCATTGAGTGTTTACTTCATGCCAGATATGGTGTTTAGTGTTGGGTACATTACCTCATTTGATCTTCCCAAGAATACTGTGCAGGGCATGTTTTTCATCCCTGTTCTGTAGATGAAGGGGAGAGATTGAGTACACAAGGCCACACACTGCAGAGTACTAAGACCAGGATTGGACCCCAGCTCCATGTGACTCCATAGCTTTTGCTATACCACGTTCTCTAACATAAGGAACAGATCAATATATATATTTATTTTTTAGTATTTCAAGGCATTTCTGGAATTTTTCAGGAAACATTGTCCAAGTCAGTTATATATATCTTAGTCCAATATATTACTGAGAATAGTTAGAATTTAGTTTTTCCTCTTGTGCTAGTCTCTGTCTTGCTCTCTTCCTTAAGCCAGGGGTACATATCTTTATTTCCCTGAAAAGAACAAGATGATCTTGTATATTAGCTATAGTTATCATAGTATTCTTTTAGTGACTTAATGAACTTGTGAGAAGCTTGCCTCCAACAGAACACAGTTACATTTGATAGTTGGGTGATGACAATCACAGTAAGTAATAACACACAGTTATAGGGTGAGTACCTTGGGACAGTTGCTGAGCTAAGTGCTTTCCATATATTAGCTCATATAAGTTCTCAGAACAATTGAGTTTTGTGAAAGCATTGTGAGGAAACAGATTGAATACGTGTAGACTGCTTTTGAGAAGTTTAGCTGTGAAACAAAGGGGACCTTTTAAGATGTGTGTGCTCCAACTCTTGATTTTAAGGACATTTATTTTAGTTTGTCTAGCTTATTATTGTGAAAGTAATGTTTGCTCATCACAAAAACTTAAACTAGTATCTGTCCCACCCACTGTTTCCCTTATTCCATATCCCTCATAAGCCCTTAATGAGTTTACTCTGTTCCCTCCAGTTATTTTCTCTGCATGTACAAATATGTGCATGTATGTTTTTCTTTCTTTTTTTTTTTACATATAAATGGTGTAACACGTAATGTTCTGCTGCTTGCTTTTGTTAGAATGCATTTTATGTACACACAATATTTTTAACCATTGGGTAGTTTTCCATTTTACTGAATTGCTGTAATTCATTTAATTGCTCTCATATTGATGAACAACTGAGTGGTCTTCACATCCTCATTATTCTCACTGTTACAAACAGTGGCCCTGTGAGCACTGTAATTGACATGAAAATTTTGATGCAAGCTGCTACTTGGTGCTCCAAAAGAGTTTATCAGTTACGTTCTCACCAAGCATATACGAGAATTTGTTTGCCTAAGCCTGAGAGATAGTCTTTAATATTCTTTTTCCTCGCTCCCTCCCTCCCTTCCTTTTTTTTTTTTTGTTAACAATGGGAAGAGACTGGAGAGTGTTTGTATTCTGAAGAAGCTACTAGGTGCCAGAGGGTTGGAAAATTCAGAGAGAGCAGATAACTGATAAGGAGAGGATAGGAGACAGTGGGATCCAGGATATAAGGAGGTCTAAGACTTAGCCAGGAGGAGGAGGAGCCTTCCTTTGGGTTCTAATGTGGGGACAGAGGGAAGAATGGGTGTGCTTGAGCATGGGCAGATCTGCCGTTGGAGGCATACATTTAAGGGAACTTCTTTGCTATGGAAGGTAAATCATCATCTGAGAATAGGGATGGAGATAGAGGGATTGGTAGCTGAGGGAGAGGAAGGGAGATTTGAAAAGAATGTTGAGTAATGAGAGACAGGGCCATTTAGCAGGATTGCTGTGCAGCTGGGAGAGTCAGTATCAGTATCAGGTACATTCAATTCTCATTTGTGGTATATTCCATAAATAGCAAATACTGAACCATTGCTCCTAAGGAAGTACAGGATTAATAACACTTATTAATTGTGAGCCTCTGGTTGCACCGTTTTCATCAACTGATCAATATGTAACCTTGTTTATGTGTGTTACTGTTTAAAGATATCTTACTTAGTATCTGCTGTTGAGTCATTAACGAGAACTCACTGCCAAGGCTTCTCTAACTCTTGCCTCATAAAGCTCATCTAACACACGTCTTTTCCCTGAGGCACTTCACAGCCTTCTTGTACCTAGGGACACTAGCCAGCACTTAACACTATGCTCAGGGGCTGTAGGAAATAGCAAAACCACCAACAGAAAGCACAGACATGGAAAACATGCCACTAAATAGACTGTGCAAAGGACACTTGGCCTGCATTTGAGATGTGAAACAAGAAGACAGAACATTGCCTTGTTCAGCCTCAGCTGAGAACTTGCCCATGGGTGACTCAAATTTTTGCCACTCTGTGCATGCATGTGTCCCCAAATACTACAAATATTATTTTGGAGTTACAAGTAAAGTTTATCAGGTAGATGAATTCACAAATGCAGACTCCATGAATACCAAGGATTGACTGTATGTCATTTGTTTTCCCTCAGTACCAGTCCCTAGACCAGGTATTGGTGTAGACTTGAAGGATACTTGGTATGATGGAATTTTCTTAGGCACGTGTTTTGAGAACAACAGCAGGGTAACGATTTTAAAATGTTGGCAAGGAAATGTTTTAAGTGACTGCTGAGGAAGGCAGGCCTGGGGTAAGAGTGGTGCTAGGGAGAAAGCAGAAGGATCAATGTGAGATGCTAGAGTTTTCATGGAGATTGGGGGGAAGTGTATTGGGAGTGACTGGCTTGACAAACTGAGTAGGAGGATGTCTTCCTAGAGTTGGGTGTTTTAATGTAACGGTTGAGAGGCAGTGCAATTTCTGATGGGACAAGATCCACAGGAGTAAGAGTATGAAGTGGACAGGAAGTGCAGGGAACAAAGGACCCAGGGTGTTGGATGAGCCCTCCGTGTGCACGGTGAAGTGCTCAGGATGGAGAGGGAGAGAGCAAGCCAGGGCTTAGTGTGTGATGAGTGAGGAGGGGCGTTCGGGAGGGTAGCATGTGGGTCGATGAAGGAGAGGGTGGGCACCCACATGGCATGGGCCTTGAAGGCACACATGGCAAACATTCCTGGGCAGTAATCTCTCCTCGGACCTGGGAGGGATGGAGAGTGGGAGGAGGAGCAGCCTCCACTGCGGGAAGGCTAGAGAGGGATGGGCTCCTATGCCTTTGAACGAGGAGACGGAGGCTGATGTAGATGGTTTACCCAAGCCTGGGGTTCCAGAGGGCACAGGGCGTAGTGGAGACGCTGTGTGGGGAGCAGAGGGCTGGTGATCCAAGGGGGCAGAAGCTCAGAGCAGTCGCCCCTGAGGGCTTGGAGGGATGCGCTACTGCAGGAGTTTGCTTCTTAGGCTTTGCCCAGAGAAAGCTGAGTGCAAGGTAGCATAGGTTGGCCCAGCTCTGACGCTTGTAAGAGAAACAGCTTCTGAGCCTCTCAGTGGAGGGGGGCTGGGGGCTGGGGCAGCTACCGCCCTGCTTGAGGCTGTATTTCCAGGGATCCAGTCTCTGCTTTGCAGAGGAACTCTAGTCTCTCTGGGGGAAGTCAGCTCAGTTGTGTTTTTTATATATACACGTGTGTACATATAGACATATATGTGCACATATTCTAATTGGATAAAACTAATGTATAAGATAAAATATAAAAATTTCATCATTCCCTTTTGCCTCTCCGCCCTCAATCCCACTTCTCATAGGAAATCAGAGATCTCAGAGCTAATACAGTGGCACATATCCTTCCAAACTTTTTTTTACTGTGAATTTGCAAATATATATGTATGTGTAAATATGTATATAAATATGTGTATATAAGTACATACTCCTGTATGTATGCACAATAAAATGTATACACACAAACATACATGTAAAGCCACATATGGACTCACATACACACAGGTTTTCTCATAAACTGACTCATCCTGTACAGTTTGTTTTGCTACTTAAATTCTAAGTATATCTTAGGGAACTTCCCATGGCAGTAACTGTTACAGCGACCTTAGCATTTTGGGATTGTTAACTGCCCTGGTTCTATGCTCACATCTCCAGTGGCTTGTTCAGGCTTCTGCAGTGCAGGTGCTCCTGGAGCAGTTAGAAGTCTGGTGTGATGTGTCATTCCGCCTGAACACATCTGCTGTGCTAGAGGGAAGGAGATTGAGGGTCTGAACTTCTGTCTAGGGACCCAAGGCAGAACATGACCCATAAACTCATGTGACCTTTTAACTCAGAACTTCCCCAGGTGGGGCCCTTTAGTCAGATGGAAGGCCTCAGCATTCAGCCTGCATTATGTACAGTGAGCTCTTACAGCATTCCAGGGAGCCTGTCTCATCCAAGTATGAATTGGGGGAGGCTTTTCCTTCTCTCAACCCAGCTACTAGTAGAGGAAAACTTTTAGGAGGAAAAACCCAGCTGTTAGTAGAAAACAACTGTCTTCTCTTCATGTCTCCTGGGTCTGAATGGATATCATCACGTGTGGAGCCATGTGAAGAACAGGGAGCCCGCCTCAGACAGCGCAGAGCAGTCCACCCTGCAGGAGTTACACACCCTGCCCTGTTTCAGGCTGCCTGCTTCCCTGCTGGCTGTCCTTGGTGACATACGCTGGTACTGTAGAGAATGGACAGACAACATGTAGACATGGAAAATTATTCTTCACCCCACAGTCGTGTGCTTGTCATGTAACTGTGGATGATGCCAGAACACTGCAGTGCTCCCCTTCCCAATATAAAAGCCTTTGTAGATTTTGTCATTTGTTCACTTGTTTTTGTTGCTGTTAGTGAGGGTACTTTGATTAACGTAAGCTGTGTCATACTTGATGTCCCTGTTAGTTTATTTTTGTACATGTACACAAATATTCTGGATGTTTTGAATTTTGATTTGTTTTGTTTTAAGCAACCATTTTTACCTGTTTCAGGTTTGTGGATACCGAATAAAGCTACACTTTGATGGATATTCTGATTGCTATGACTTCTGGGTAAATGCAGATGCTCTGGATATTCACCCAGTTGGGTGGTGTGAGAAAACTGGCCATAAACTCCATCCTCCAAAAGGTATTGTCACTTTTTTATTTTGTATTTTTAATTCTGTGAAAACTTGTTTTCCTACATGTTAGTTAAGAATTTTTAAGAATTTAGATTTAATGATAATTTAGATAGGCCTAAATTCAAGCTTATTTTCCATGGTGAAAAATATGTTTATTAAAGTGAAAGAACTTTAAAAAGTAGAGTCCTATTTAAGAGATAAACTATGTCCATGTACTTGTTTGCATATAAAATAATGTTTGCATGATACTTAATTTTGACTATAAATGTTAACTACAGACTTCTATTTTATATATATGTGTGTCCCTGAAAAGACTGATTTGCAAAGTAACTTACAACCTGTTTACACAGCTAAGTTTATTTACTGATATTTCAGTATATAGAAAATCTAAAGAAAATATGAATTGAACTAATTAATGATCTTACTATTTAGGAGATTGGAAAAGAGAATTTAACACTAAAAATTGGTTTATGTGCAAGTTGCACTAATAGCGATTACTTTTTTATTATTGAGTTCTTTATATTTACAGTCTGACAATGATTTTGCTTGTTTTATGTTTACATAAAGATCCAAGAATAACAGATGCCGTCTCGTCAGTCCATTCCTCATGTGTTTAATAAAGTCTTGCTTCCTTCCTTTTCAGCTATTGCATTCAGTATTGTTTACTTGATGTCAAAGATTCAGGTTACTAGTTTGGTATTTTTGGCCTCTATCAAGGCTGTTATTTTTAATAGGCTAGCCATCATTTGGTTTTAAGGTTTTAAGTGAAAAAAATAATATAGGGTGGTACTTTTAGATGGCTGAAGGATTAAACAGTAACACATAGAAAAACAGGGTGAGAAAGAAATTGTACAAGCCTTTATATAAATCGATCTCTTCTATATGGTGAGTTATTAGCTGTTCCTTTCATGTTGCCTTTTGGATTTTAATGGCAGTAGAAGAGACCACATGAGATAAGATGCTCAGTTTTCTTTTTAAAGGATTGTAGGCTTTAACAGTAAATGTGAAATTGTGAAAATTAAGGCAAGGACATTTCCATTATTGTAACATGCCAACATAACTTACTTCATAAATCTTGAATTCTTTTTCTTGTGGTGATAGGCCAAAAAGATCTTATCTGTTTTATTACTGTTTTTTATTTTCCAGTTTCCCACTTGTTCCTACAGGTTAGTCTTCCAAAATAGAATAGGTGAAGGAAAAAATAAAGAATTTGATTACTCCAACTCACTAGTTTACTGCTGAGGAATTCTGCCCAAATAACTGATAGAAAGGATATGGTAATAAAAAGAAGTTCACTCTGCTGAGGAATTCTGCCCAAATAACTGATAGAAAGGATATGATAATAAAAAGAAGTTCACTTGAATATAATATGTATTTGCTTCTTTACACATTTTCTTTATATCTGTTTTCCTTCATTCAGAAGAGGAAAAAAATGCAATTTGTTGGACATAACCACAGCCTATGTATAAAACTTCATTGTTATGTATTATGGGTTAAATTATATCTATTTTAAAAATTACTTGATTGTTCAAATTTGGCATGTTGGAGTTAATAGCTAAAAGTGGGAATGGAAAATTGTGAAATATTTTGATATTTTGCTAAGTCTGTATATATGTTCCTACAGGTTATAAAGAAGAAGAATTTAATTGGCAGACCTATCTTAAGACATGCAAAGCTCAAGCTGCTCCCAAATCGTTATTTGAAAATCAGAATATAGTGAGTACATCCAAAATACTTTTCCTTTCAAAAGAAGTGGTTTTTGACTATTTCATAGGATCAATTACAAATAATAACAAGAAACTAAAATACATTTTGTTCCTTTGGTGGATAGGATACTCTTATCTTAATTAAACTTTAAAATTAGCTTAAAATAATCATGAATAAATTTCTATTTTATAGCCATATCACAGTCATCAAACTTTGTTGAATGGTAGAAGGCAACATAGTACAAAACCCAGGTGTAATTTACAGTGAAGGCACACAAAAACGTTAAATTGCCTGGAACACGTTGTTGTTATTTTCACTTGTTTAGTGTTACACTTCATGACCTGTATTCCCACTTTCCATTAGATGTTCCTCTGTTGGCATCTCTGAGGAGGCCTAATATGTTACACTTTTCTTCTTTGCCCAAGCTCTGATCTAATTGGAAAGAAGAGAGAGTAAGCAGGTGGAAAAACCAAAATAAAATCTTTATAACTGATAAGGGCTCAGTTGGAGTACATGCATGACCTATATCTGCTGGCAAATGAAGTTCTTTATTCTAAGCCCTAGAATTAAAGAAATGTACTGGCCCTTCCTACCCCGCTACCGAGGACCAGGAGCACTGGACCAGGGCAGCCCCACCCTCCTGCAGGAACAGAACTAGCCCCAGGGGACAAAGTGGAAACTTGTCCCCTGTGTTCCCTGTGGCCAGTGTTCCCTGTGGGCCAGCTTAGTTCTTAGATTAGGACCAGTTCTTCCTTCCAGATTCGCTGGTTAGCTAACAGTGAGCGAGTAATGTTTCAAAATGGGGTTCCTTCCAAATGGACATAAATATCAAGAGTAAGGAAAAAATCTTCCTGCCCACTCCAAGTACCCTCTGTTTGGGAAACGACTTTAACCAGTTGTTTTGAGCCTTAGTTTAATGGCTAAAGGATTCTCTGAAATATCTTAACTGAAAGGATAGCTCAATTGCTGAAATATAAATACTGCATTGTCAGTTGGTATTCACTGTCAAGGTAGGAGGAAGGTCAGTTATGTGGAAAACTCAGTAGCCTGCTTTCTCAGTTTGAAGTTTGCTAATCCCTGTCTGGTTCTCTGATGATGAATGAGTTCAGTCAGGGATTTGATTAACTGCCTTGAATCAGCTTAAATTCTGTGCATTGCTAGCACACAACTTTATCTTGGGTTATGTGTTTGGTATCTAGGAGTCAATTAATTTTTCTATTTCTAGATTCCTCTGCCTCAGAATACTCAAATATTTATGGTCAGAAGTCTGATAAATAATTTCAGGACTTGAATGTATATAATAAATGTGTCTGCAGCATTAACTCCTGCTCCTTTAGTTCAGACTGTACTTACGTTAACGTTTTCAGATACATAGGGCTATCAACATTTTTGTAATGATAGCTATATAGTTAAAGTAAACAGATAATTAGAATAGTCTGTCTAAGTCTGGACAGAAGGACCTTTTTAGAAGGGCAGAAATGACTTGTGTGTTGTGACTGACATAACTGATATCCAAGTACACTTCTCTGAGATTAGGATATTTTTCTTCACAAAAGATTATAAGGAATGTTTATATTGTACTGAACCTCAAACACTAAGTCTTAATGAATTTAGGATTAAATTGTTTTAGTTCCATGCCCTTGATGGCCAATAACCTATAGATTTCCTTATAGTAAAGACTGTTTTGAATGTCTGTATTCAGCTAGTTCTTTGGTGCTGTTGTGAATAATATCTGCAGTGTTAAGTAAAAGTTGTAATAATTTGCAGCCTTTCATACATGAAGGTGACCTACTTTCAGTAGATTCCTCTTTTGAGAGATCTTTTCGGAAGTGGGAGTGAACTCATACTGACTCATAACGTTTTTAACTTGATTAAGTGTATGTTTTGTGTGAAATAATTTTCATCGTTAAGTCTGTAACAAGGGAAAGAAAAACAAAAAGTGAACTTACATGTGAGTAAACTTTGACTAACTAGCATAATTGTCTAAGATGCCAAAACACATATTAAAATTAATTAGACTCTGTGAGGTTGTGGGTGTTTTAGTTTCAAGGTCCAGATAGTTAATTGGGTGTAGCAACAGGGCATTTTTTTCTTATTGCTGCTTGTTGGAAAGCAACCCTGCTGTATAACTGGTCCATGAATTTTAAATTATGTGAACATAGCTAATGGATGCCAGGCCTTCAAGCAGGAGGTGCAGAGAAGGTGCAGGTCTTGCTGGTAAGTATGTGCTTATCTCTAATTAAATCTGTATGTTTTGTAGACAGTGATCCCATCAGGCTTTCGAGTTGGAATGAAACTCGAAGCTGTAGACAAAAAGAATCCTGCGTTCATCTGTGTTGCTACGGTAACAGATATGGTGGACAATCGTTTCCTGGTGCATTTTGACAACTGGGATGAGAGCTATGACTACTGGTGAGACATTTTCCATTGCTGTATGCTTTTTTCTGATTTAGTGTTTATTCAAGTAAACCAGCTACATGTTTTAAAAACAATCATAATGCAAAGCTTATAAAAAAAATAATAACTGTGCTCAGCCCTGTTGTTTCCCATTTCAGATTTTTAACTTTTTACCTGTTCCATATGGCATATATTTCTAAATAACATCCTTTACTTCTGCTTCAAGATTTATATTTTAATTGGCTATGGAGTGCAGTTACAAATCCCCATTTCCAGCATATGTTCACACGTGAGTGCAATGCACATACACACTTTCCCTCTTATCTTGGGTGTCATCTATCAATTTTTGGAAAAATATTTCAGTCTTCCTTCATATTTTCATACCCATGAGCTAATTTTATACTCAGTAGCTGAATACAAATGTGTTAATTGAGGAATATTGTTTTTAATCCTTACAGTTTTTGTATATACTGCATAAAAGTGGTAGGAGCAACATACTATAAAATTATATATTTATAACATACTTACAATAAAGCTATCATATTTTGATGAATCATTGAAATAATGATTTCCATATCTAATTTCATGTTTATTGATCATGACAGTTCAGTTCTGGTAAGAGACATTTCTGAAATGTTTAATTCCTCATAGAGAATACATTCAGTGAGAAAATTTTTGAGAAGTGACAGATATTATAAAATATGGCTGGTATTATAGTATCAAGTGAATATTAATTTATAAATGTTGCTAGATTCCAGGGAATCTTGTTTCCTGACCTTACTTTTTAGTATGCACTCATTTAAAAATTCAGTAGAGCCATCAGTAATTTCCATTATTTCTCACATTGGATTCTTAGATATTCATCAGTTTTACTTGCATTGTTTTAAAAAGGAGAGATATTGAAAGCCATTTGCTATTTGGGTTTTAGAAATGCTTTCTGTTTATATTATATATGCTCTTTACAGAATTTTTTTTGTGTGTAGCCAAGTAGTTCCATGATTTCATCACATGGAGTCAAGGACTTTTGAATATTTTGGTTGCTTTTTTCTGCAAAGCATAATTTTCCTCATAGGATGTCTTCTTATTCAGCTTACAGTAAAAATTTTTATTGAAATTTTTATTGAAATATATGCCATTTCAAGCAGGTATAAAAGAATAATAGAGTGCCCTACATACAACCATTGTAAAACACCAGGAAGTATAAATTTATGTTCATTCTTGTTTTCTTTATATTCCTAGTCCTGAAATTCCAACTCCAGGGTTGTTTTGAAGCAAGTTCCAGGTGTAGCATTTTTTCTGTGTATACTTCAGTGTGTATCATTTAAAGATAGGGAGTCTTTTTCAAGAATATGTTATAAATGGCATAATGTTAACTAATATACTTAATTATTCTCCCCAGCTGGCTTATTTTTTTTTTTAATTCAGTGGTTTTAAGTCCAAATAAGATGCACACTTTATGATTGTTTTGGTGTTTTTCTTGATTCTTTTAATTTATAGATTCCTATTGTTTTGTATCTTTTGCTTCTTCTTGTAACTTCTACTGAAGAAACAAGGTGGTTGTTGTTGAGTCTCCCACAATCTGGATTCGCTGATTGAATCCGTGAATTGCTTGCCATGTTCATCTGTTCCTCCTATTTCTTGTTAATTGGTGTTTTTTGTTTTATTTAAAATTATCCATACCTATCTTAAGTAAAGACACGATGAGAAAACTTTAAATTTAGAAATATTGTAAATCTGTTCTGGGTTGAACATGTTTCTCACCTTCTGTATTTGATGTACTGTGATGATGGCAGTACCAGTGTGATGACTAAGATCCAGTTATTTTATTAATAAATGATAGTTTAAAGCAATTATTAGAATTGTGTTTAGAGTTCTGATTCATTTTGGGAGCACTTTTTTTTAGCTTTTGCCTGATTTTTTTAAAAAAGCGTAAATGTTGAAGTTACTTTTGTGGTCTTATAGGTATTAGAATGTTTTAAAAGTTTAAGTTGCTATTTGACATGAGATATATTTCCTTTGAAAACATTCTGCTGGATAAGGAAGTTTTTTTAAAAAAGCGTAAATGTTGAAGTTACTTTTGTGGTCTTATAGGTATTAGAATGTTTTAAAAGTTTAAGTTGCTATTTGACATGAGATATATTTCCTTTGAAAACATTCTGCTGGATAAGGAAGTCTAGAAGAATCTGTCACATTCATTTTTCTTTGATACCAAATGTGTAGGGAACAGGAAAGATCCTGAACTCTTTTTTAGAAAGCACAGGAAAAGAATTGATTTCTTTGAGCTTTGGTTTTACACGTCCATGAACACAAATGAATTATTTTTAGAATGGAATGTACTTTGAGGATTTTCTTATACTTCTTACTATTGACATGAAATCTTATTTTGTTAATTGTCAGAAAAAGAATACAGTGTGTTCTCTTTCTTGATATGTAATTAAGACACCCTGAAAATTGCTTAAGTGCACTGGAATTTTTCCAGCTTTATTAAATATTTTGTTCTTTGATCTTTGAATTTTGGCATAGTTTTTATCTGCAGAAATTACTTACGTAGTATGTAACTGAGGTTACAAATTGGATTGCCTTTCCCAATTTAAAATAGTTTGGAAATGAGATTTTTGTTTCCTTCAGTTGGATAGTGATTTTATTTCTTTTTACCTTAGTGGGAATTTGAAAAAAAATACATATATGTACCTGTGTACATATGTGGTACTACATGTTTGGCTTCAATAAAACATTTTTTAAATAAATGAAAAATATTAAAATATTATTTATTAATAAAATATTATTAAAATACAAAATATATTTTACTTATTTATGTGAAAGTTTATGAAGGATTAAAGTACTTTTTTATGAAAGGAAAATAGTATATATTAAAATAAAAATTGCTGTATCTCTAGTTCCCTGTGTGTTTGGTTATTAGTAATTGGTAGCTGTTGAATTCTATCCCCCCTGTAGTCCTTAGATTTTAGGAATAATCCTAAGTGTCGCAGAATATTGGAACTAGAAAGAACTTTAAAGGTGCAGGAAGGAAAGCCTTCACAGTGAGGGTGCCCTGAGCGCCCAGGGCAGTGTGTGGCCTCTGTCCCTCATCGTCTTTCGGCTGCTTGAGGACGGGGTCCCGCAGACTACACAATGAGGAGTCACCCCTTCTCTCCTCCAGGCACCGGGAAGGAATCTTCCTCAATGTTATTGTCATATGATTTTGTTTCTTAAAAATCAGAGAGGCACAACAAAGGACTTAGTTGACTGTCAGTAGAAAGACCTAGAAGGTGGAAGTTGGAGCTGCAGCCATTTTGGATTTTTTTTTTGTTTCGATGTCCCAGTGAGGCAGCTTGAAGAATCAGTGGACAGATCTCTGAAACAGACAGATCTATGAAAAAGAGCAGCATTGAGTTAGTGAATTAGAACAAACATGGGGCTGTGTCTTCTCCTGATTTCTTTAAGGATACTGCAAACTTTTTTTTCTTTTACATTTATAAATTGAGAGTGATAGTAATTTTATGTGTCTCCTCAAAGTAATATTGAAAAGTTTGCAGCTTGTTAGAACAGTGTCACAGTTAACAGGTTTATCATCTGTTTAAATTTGGGAAGCACAGGTTGGTGGTGATGATGGGTTACAGAGGTGAAAGTTATCCAAGTAGCTACTTCTACCCTGAGGGGCTCAGGGCGTGGGCAGGGAGAGAAACACAAATACCACTGTTTTGGCTGTAGTGCTTAATTATTAGAACCATCATTTGCTGCCTATGATGGCGCATGGAGGGAAGGACTGAGTGGGGAGTTCTTGGGGAGAGCTTCCTCGAGGACATGGGATTTGAACTGGACCACGAAGGATGTTAAGAATCGGTACTTAGATATTGGGATGAATATTCGTGGTCAAGGAAAGCACTTGCTTGTGTTTATACCCAGGAGGGCAAACAAAGGTGTATTTGGGGAATGACAATCAGTCTTTTTAGTAAGTGACTAACTCGTCTATGCTTTTAGTTTTTTAATTAAATCCCTTTGCAAAAGGGATTAATAATAATACCTATCTCATCAGATGTGTTAAAGACAGTTTTAAAAGCAGAAACACAATTTGCAGAAGGTTAAAGAGATGCCTGTAAGAGACATCAAGCGGAGAAGTTTGGCTCTGAAAGTGAAAGTAGATTATTGTCTAAGGAGTCAGCAGTCTGAGGAGGGTTTCCTGCATATTGAGAATTTTGAGCTTGGTTTTTAGGCTGAGGGAGGGAAGCCACCATGAGGGAGAGAGTGGAGCCATCTGAGATTGGGTAACTGGGAACACTGAGCCCTGTAGGAGGGGCTAACCTTGTGGAGAAATAAACACTCTTCATTTTCATCCTGGCATAAATGAAGAAGTGAAGGGAAAATTTGTTACTGTGGTGATAAGCGGGCATCTCCTTTATCTGTCTGCAACTGGACCATGAAGGATGTCAGTATGTTAGTGACAATCAGGTTTGAAGCTTGAAGCCGATTAATAATATTGAAAACAGTTACTGTCAGGAATAGGACTGGGAATGAATTAGGGATGAAAAGAAGAACTAGTGACCCAGCCTGATGAGGTTTGGGGTTTCGTAGTAAAACACAGAGTGATGGATGGAGGCACTGAGACTTAGCACGTAACAAGAGCCAGGAAATAAATTTGACAGTCATTATGCTCTGGATTTAGGCAGTGGGAGAGGCCAAGTGTCCTGTATTTCTTCAAAGAATCTAAACCATTATTGCTCAAAATGAAGACTTTGATGTTTTCCTTAAGTAAGCATCTTGAAATGTTCTTGTTTGACTCTCTGCCTCGATTTGCAGAGGCCAGCATGTGTTCATTAGTTGGGTTTACCTTTTGGCTGTGGCTGATAAAACCAGGATCTCTTTTCTTTTCAATTGGAAGGCTTGGTGAAATCACTTAACCTCTTCATGTGTCCATAAAATGAGGATCTTCACATCTGCTCACTGTATCTTTGTATTATAAATATGGGTTTTTCATGATTTCTTTGATTTCTGGACCCTTTCAAAATCTACCAGTCTAGGTCTGATTGGCTTTTAGCAGCCTTCACGAATAATTTACACTCACTTGTGAAAAGGACTTTAAAAAATTTTTTTTGAAATGGACTTTGTTGGTAGTATACATAAAAACCCAAAAGATAAAGAGGAGAGCTATGGTGATGAACAATTTGTCAAACTTCTCATCATTAGTTCTTCATTATATTTCTTTTTGGTTCATTTCTGCATTTGAACACTAGATGGGACTACGAGATGACTTGTTTTACAATAGTAGCACAAAGGATTTCACAGTCATTCAACTTCTGAATGAAGTGTTTACTTATTGAGAGAGTATAAATAAAATAGATTAAAATAAGGCTATTTATATATTCCCTATTGAGATGACTTTCTTGTACATTTTAAGTGGCATCTTTGACCAATATTCAGATAATATTAAAACTTTACATAAGATTCAGGTAGTACAGGAACGTGTGGCCAAGATACACCACAGTATTTTACTTAACTGCAATTTATAGAGAAATTCAATAAAATCAAAAGAATTAGTAATGTCTGATGTTCTTACTTTAATCAACATGAGTTTGGCAGATAATGGTAAAACTGTTCAATAGCTATATTAAAAGGAGAAGAAAAAAATTCAATGTTGTATATTTCTCTTCTTAATTTTAATGAGACCTATATGAATTAATGTGCCTTTCCCTAAAATAAAATAAGGATTTTTCTGAAATAAAGTGAAGGCATCATTAGTAATAACCATAACTTGATGATTGTCTAGGAAAAGAATAGTATAGCTTGAAGTAGAGCCCCATAGCTTTATGTATTTAATGTATAGCAGAATGCATCTTACAGAATTGTGTATCAAATATCTTTTATGAAAATGCGTACTGTAAGAAATGTTTTATTTGCTGTGTGAACTTGGCATTGACCTAACAGTGCTTGTTTTCCTTCATCATTTCTAAAGCAGTGATGTACCCATACACCTATAACCGTGATAATGTAGATTCAGAAAAATAATAGTGTGGGGGCAGTTGGGTAGGAGGTAACAAGTGAAGAAAGGGAGAAACCTTTAACTATAAATTTAAAGCTGTTTTTCTACTAACATAATTATGAGGGAAATCAGCATTAAGTTGAGGTTACATCAGCTCACCTTCAGGGATGCTAACTTGGAAAGGTTGATTTGGAAAGAGGTAGCTGATTGTTAATCTTGTTCACTTAGAACATTTCTTAGAAAGTTCTTTGTTTTACATTACTCATCAGATTTTTTTTTTATTCACCAGATACTCCAACCACTGTTACTTTCCTGACTTTGTAACTTTTAGTTTCGCTTGTAGAGGGTTATGTGGAGATCTCTTGATCTTTCAGGGTATATTTGATAGGTCTGGTTAATAGAGCAGGACTTAAGTCCTGGGCCTCTTTTAAAGCATTTCCCAAACTGTGTTCTAAGGAACACTAGGGTTCCATGTAGAATTAATGGATTGCCCAGCAAAGCAGTGTTTCATACTTAAATATCTTTAGGAAATGCTCCATTAAGCAAGTTGAAACTGGTTTGTTTATAGCGTAACTCAACATCTTTAATATGCTAATAATGCATTATGTAAATCTGAGAGGGAGATGTAGTATTTTCCTGAAATCTTTTGACCAAAGGCCCTGATTTTTTTAACTTCATTATACCTGTTAGAGCACAAATGGGAAATGTTCTACCAACTTTTTTATTTTAATAAATTTTTATTGTGATGTCTCTAGATGCTTAATTTGTAAGCCTATTATAACTACCAGCTTGTAACTCCAGCTTCCACTTCCTTATATTGTGTTTTCCTGGAAAAATCCCTACGCTGGTTGAACCTAACTTTCTGCCTACCTTACACCTGTGCCTAAGCAGTTGACTGTAGTGGGAGAGGATATGACATGCTGTCTGGTCTGACTTCACATTCATGATGGCCAACCTCAAGTGGGTCCTTGGTCCTGCCTCATCCCCCTACTACAGACCCTTGTCTGTTCTTCCAGACTACTATACTTCACTCATTTTTTTTCCTGTCAGATTTCTCACACCCCCTTTCCTATCTTCCTTCTTAGCTTATAACCTTGCTTGGAAAAAGACCTAGTCAGAAGAGACATTTGCATGCTCCTCCTAGCTGGTGGGGACATTCCTAATCTGTGCTCACAGACCAGACTTTCTCTGTAACTGTGGGTGGAGTACCTCTGCTTCTGCCTAAGGGGTCCCTGCTCTCATGGACAGGGTTGCATTCCCTCTTACCAAGTTTGTTCTCCTCTTCTCTTTATCAATAGGTGATCCCTCTCTGTTGAGCTATTCCTACCAGGACCCAAGAGGGAGAGGGGATTTTTGTTTTGATACCTGTGGTAGCCCCAGCACCTAGAACAGTGCCCTGATCGTGGTAGCTACTCAGCATATATTTCTTGAATAAATGAAGTTATATTTCCCATATTTAAAAATTTTTATTTTGAAGTAGTACTAAACTTAAAGTTTGTAAAATAATACAGAGAATTTCAATACATACCATACCCTGTTTCCCCTAAATATTTCCCAACTTAAAAAAAAACTCCCTTTTTCTATGTAATGTCTCATTTCTCTGGTTCCTTTTCAAACAGAGCTCCTTAAATGTGTGTTCTATACTAACTATCTCCACCTCCGTCTCCTTCCATTTTCTCTTAGACACTCTGGTCAGGCTTTGCCCCTCCCACCCTATCTCTGCCAAAATAGCTTTGGCGAAGGGAACTTACTCGTTGCCTTTACGTGGGTAAGTCTAGTGAGCAATTCTCTTCCAAAGAGATACAACATTAGCATTTGGCCAGTTGATGTCTATCTGCCTTCTTTCTCTCTCACTTACTAGTCATTTCTTCTTAGCTTTCCTTGTGTTCTCTTTTGTTCTCTCTCTACTCGTTCTCTAGATGATCTCATTTCCGCTCATGGCTTTACATGCCATTCCAAATGCTGATGACTCCCAGATTTGTATTTTTACCCTTTATCTTGCTCTTAAACTCCAGATTTTTATGCTTAGTATTACTCAGCTTCTTGACCTGTTTGCAAAGCATATATTGATAACAGAACTCTTGGTTCGCCATTTGGAATATCCACAATGTGCTTGCAGCCTTCCCATCCTGGAAAAACAGCCGTACGTACTTCTAGTGGCCCACGCCCCCAACCTTGGAATGTCGTTGACTTTTTCACTTCATTTATATACATTCTGGATCAAATCTAGCAGCGTATCCTCTAGGTTCTTCCTTTACAATAGAGGCCTAAAAACATGATCACTTCTTACTCTTCGCCGACAGCGCTCTGGTTCAGGCTACCATCATCAACTCTGCAAAAGCCTTAAACTGCCTCTTCTCTTGTTCCCCTTGTAGTTTACTGTCTGCAGAGCAGTCAGAATAGTTACTTTAAAGTGTAATCTGGATTTTGCCACTCCTCTGCCTGAAGGAGAGAGCCAGGATGCCCTCTACGTGATGGTCCAGTGAACATCATTTTACTCTGAATAAAATCCCAAGACCTTCCTATGGCCAAAAGGCCCTTCCTGGGATTATTTCCTGTCCTCTGCTTCCCTCAGTCTCTTCCTGACACAGCCCTCCCAGATTGCCATCTCATAACCTTTGTACTTGTCCCCTCTGCATGGAAAGGCTTTCTTTATATGTTCGAGTGGCTTGGTTCTGTTTCTTCCTTCACTTCCTTCGGGCTCACCTTGATTTGAGAGGCCATCTTGTGAGAGTGCCACGTAAAGGAGTGCCTTCACACTAGTTCTCTTCACTTCTCTGCAGGGTGTACATGCCAACACACTATATATTCTATTTGTGGACTTATTTGCTCTCTCTTCCAGCTGTACCATGGGGTCCACAAAAGCAGGAACTTTGTATATGTTTTATTTTCTCCTGTATCCCCTAAGCCTCTTCCATAATGTCTGGGACCTCATAGACACTCAATATTTGAATGAATGAGTGAGTGAGTGAATGGATGGAACGAGTTGCCTGTTAAGATGAGGAATACATGGAACAGGTTTGGTTAGGAGCAAGGAATCAGAGATACCAGATATGTGCTGATAAAGAGGACTTGGAAAAATACATCTTTGATTGAAGTAAAGATGACAAGAGAAGAGAAAAAAGAGGTGAGGAAGAGAAAGGGGTAACCTGTCTTTATACCTGGTTTCTGCCATTTTTAGTGGGTGATAGAAATAACATGTCTGGTTTCTGAGTGTGATCAAGCTTCCTGCTTTTTGCTCATATGCCCTTAGAGATGCTGAAATAATTTTAGCTTGCCTGTGTACATGATTATTTCTCACACATTTATTTTTCCACGTGATTGTTACAAATGGAAATTCTGAATTTTACTGACATTATCTCTGAATTTTTTCCTACATTTGAAGTTACAGGATATAACAGTTTGTGGGAGAATGAAAACTATTTGCTTGGTGGCAAATTCATATGATATTTATCTAGTAAAAATCTACTTGGTATTAACATATTAGTAGAGTGAGAAAGCCTTTGGTTTAGCATTTTCTTTTTCAAGTTAGATAAATTTTAATAAGTAGAACTCTGTGTAAGGTATTCATGATCTCTGTAAATTTTTTCCCTCTACTAGTATCTGGGAATTTAAACTTACAATTATAATTTTTTAATTTATATAACCTACAGGTGTGAAGCATCTAGTCCACACATTCATCCAGTTGGTTGGTGTAAAGAACATAGAAGAACCCTTATTACTCCTCCAGGTTAGTGTTTATTACATGTGTAATATTATCCATATACATCAGGATTTGGCAGACTTCTTCTGTTAAAGGGCCAGGTAGTACATATTTTTCGCTTTGTAAGCTATATAGTCTCTGTCACAACTAGTCAATTCAGTTTTGGCCCAAAAGCAGCCACAGACAACATGTAAATGAATGAGTATAGTTGTGTTGCAGTAAATCTGTATTTGCAAAAATAGGTGGCTGGCCTGCAGGTGGTAATTTGCTGATCCCCACCCCCACACACCTGAAAGTACATAAGCATTGGCTAAGTCCATAATGAGTATCATGTTTTGTCTTCTTTGGGAAATAAGTTCTTTTAAAAAGATCTTTCATTTCTCAAGTTGGAATTCACTTCTGGACTTTTTAATTAATGTACATTTGAATATATTGTCTAACCATAAAACTGAATTCTCTAATGCTTTGAATGAGCATAGAAAAATGGACAATAGGGGACAGCACTTGTGGATGGAGCCTTGATCCACATGTCAAAGTCAGTTTTGGTTTTAGAAAAAGCACTATGTTCACACTGAAGTGCGAATTTGAGGCTTTAGATTTTTTTTTAAACCTAGATCAGAATTCACACATTCAATTATCATTTTACTGTTGTGATTCCAGGTTCCAAAATAGATTTTACACCTTCATGCTAGTAGTATGCTAGTGGAACCTCTTCTCTGTTCTCTGAAGTTTTCAGGTATTTGAGCTGTCTGCCTCTGGCCATAGAGCCTTCTTGGCTTCTGGGTTCTCTCTTTGACAGGGAACAGTATGACTGCAGACAAATACTCCCTTTGATTTGAGTTTATTTTCATGTGCCAAAGAGCAGATTCTGTGGCTTCATCATAATCACAGCAGTGAGTTTCTGAGCATATCACTCACTCTTTAAGGGGCCATGGTTATGCTGTATGAAAGTTGGGGTCATCCGCTAGCACAGTGCCAGGGTGCTATAGGTGCTCGCGGACTGTGATACACATAGTGTCAACTGGCATTATCACAGGAAAAGGACAGCTCCTGGGTATGCTGGAGCAGATTTGTGGATGTTGCCTTCAGTATATAAGCAGCAAAGTCTCAGAGTTTCAAATACCTGTCTCATTGTATTCTAACAGCCAGATCACTCATTTTTAGGCTTGTCCCCTCGGTATCATGTTTCAGCTAGTGTCCCATCATTTACTCACTCGAGACTAACCACTGTGATGGGCTAGGCAAGTCCCTTCTGCTTTCTGAATTTTCTCATATGTTCAGGGACAAAACCCCCTTTCCTTTACTGATTTCCAGAGCTAGATGGAAGAGTGTCTTCCATCATAACCATACGTAAACCATAATATGTTAAAGCAGAGTACTAACAGTTTCACAGCCCACATGTGGTGCTGTCTGGAATATTTCTCCATTCAGCCCCCCTGTGACCACGAGACTTACACAATTAGAAGCTAGTGAATATTGATCATATTTTCTGTTTGCATCTTTGCCACTATCACCATCTAAATTGCTGTTAAGATTCTTTTAGACTTCCCAACCTGAAATTGATCCTTTTTTCCTTACCACTTTTTTGTTCATAACCAGGGATCTGTTGAATAACCAGGGGACCAAGTAACAAGTTCCTGGTTATGTGTTCACAGTACTGGGTTAGGTTCTCTGAGGAGAAGGGGTGTAAGGCATGCTTGCTGACTTCCATTGTAAGGCAGATAACCAAGTGATCTGTCTCCTTTCATGGACATTTTTAGTTCAATAGAAGAGAAAATACACAGCAGTTTCACAGGTTAAAAAGATGCAAAATTGCATGTTCAAAAACACCAAACATACAGCACTGTGAATATACTTAATGCTACTGACTGTACACCTAAAAATGGCTCAAATGGTAAACTTTATGTGATATATATTTTACCACATACACAAAATAGAGTTAAAAAAATCCCTGCCCAATAATGATACTGGTTTGTAGGATCTCTGATGATGTTACTGTACCGTGTTGTCAGACAAAAAAGATGACTTTCTCCAGTCCCTTTTCTCAAAGGGTAGATTCCTGGCTAAATCTCTGATCTCCTTTGTGGAGAGAAGGGATCCTTATCACCCCATATGCCTAGGGAGCTGCTCTTCTGACAACGCTCCTTGCTATTTTGTGGATCGGTCTCCTGAGCAGCTCTGCTGGCCACCCTCTCTGTGACTGTTCTCTCTAAATATGTAGCAAATCTACTGTTGTTTTTCCAAAATTAAAGTCTTTGTGCCTTTTAAAATGATTTTTATTTTGAATTATCCAGTTATACATTAACACATGCTTATTTTAAATAATTCAGAGTGAAAACAGAGATAACTGCTGTTCTCTCCTACTAGTGTAGAAGTTTTTCATTTAATCGTTCCAGAAGAATCTTTGTGCCTCAGTGTATATATGTACATCTTCCACGCATGTACAATCAGCTTTAATATTATTTGCATCATGCAAGATATGTTCCTTAAAAATACATTGTAAAATGTTTGTATATATGGAAATGTTTGCATATTTACTCCTTAAAACTTTCATTTTGAAACAATTTCAAATGTACAGAAAAGCTGCAAGAATAGGCAGAACTTATCTGAACCTTGACCCAGCAACACATTCAAGTTTGCCACTTGTATCCATTAGGTCGCTTATAGCAAAAGGATCAGGCATTGCACTCAGTGGTCTTATCCCTCTAGCCTCCTTCGGTTTGGCTCTACTTGACTTCCATGACCTCCATATGTTTAAGGATTACTGATTGGTCATTTTGTAGAATGTTACGTAATTGGAATATGCTTTGCGGTTCCTTGTGATTAGGAGGTTACACATTTGGCAGGAATATCACAGAAACAATATCACATGCTATGTTCTCATTGCATCTTCTCAGGAATCACATGATGCCAGTTTGTCTCATTACTGATCTTTTACCACTAATTTATCCAGATGGTATTTGCCAGTCTTCTCCACTAATAAAGTTATTTTTTCTATGTAACTAATAATTATTTTGTGGAGAGATACCCTGAGATTGTGTAAATATCCTATACTCCGTCCCCAGATCTCTCACTACTTTTAGCATCTGTTGATATGGCTAGTATGAATTATTATGCTGACGGTTGCTAAATGGTAATTTTTTAAATTCCATTATTCCTTTTATATATTGTTTGGTATTCTTCTACAGAAGTAGCTTTCTCATCTTCCATTTATTCGTTCAATTTACTTATACCAACATGGACTCATAGTGGGTTATAATTCATTATTAGCATTATTAATTTCATGTCCAGATTGTCTCAAATTTGGCCTGTGGGAGCCCCTTTAAATTGGTTACCATGACTTGAAAATATTAACGAACAACAGTGCATTGCCTTTTTATACATGCAGTATTTTCCTAGGTTAGTAAAAGTAAAATGACAGATTAAATGGTATGTGTGTGTGTGTGTATGTTTTATATGTAAAACTATCCTAATCTGAAAATATAAATTATACACATAAATATATTTTAAATTTTCATTGAAAAGGTAATAGAGAAATCATGATTAAGATAAAAAGTTTATTACAGATAATTCTGAATGTGTAACTAGTTTAAACTTGTTATGTGTGATATGAACATAGTTTCCTAGGTTATAATAACAGTACCTCATAATTTTTATAAGTCAGTTGGTTCTCACTATCATTTTGTTTAAACCTAATGGGATTTACATTTTTCTTACCTTCTTAGGTTACCCAAATGTGAAACATTTCTCTTGGGATAAGTATTTAGAAGAAACCAATTCTTTACCCACCCCTGCAAGAGCTTTCAAAGTGGTAAGTTAATAATAAATATTTTACACTACTGGGTTAATTTGTGCTGATGATCGTGTTAATTTATTGATATTTAAGAACAGAAAGAGGTAGGACTAATGAACCAGAATAGGAATGGGAGGGAAACAGAAGACCAAAGAAGACATTTTTTAATTTTTACAATTGTGAAAGTCAAAACTGTTACTGGGGATTTTTGTTGTTGGCATGAAAAATGTACTTCCAATTTGGACTGTAGTCTCCAGAAAATAATTCTGCTTGAATTGTTGTGATCTTAAAGAAAACTTCTGTTTTCCAGCTAGGTATTCTGAAAAACCAAAACAAGACAGGATATTGTTTTCTACTAAAAACTGTATTTTGATAATTCCTTAGATCTATTTATGGGAAGCTGAGGTGCTGTTTTTATTGTATTGTGGATGTAAATCAGTATGTTCCATTACCAAAATGCAGGGTTGTCTGCTTTTATTACACTATTTTTCTAATCCAGGATCATTGCTTCATGCAGATGACTGACTCAGTAAGATTCAGAGTAAGCCTCATTTCTGTGCAAGGGAAGAATGAGAAGTAAAATATAGTTAGAAATTTTTTTCATCTCTTGTAGCTAGCTTTGTAATTTATGTTTTCCTATAAATTTAAAGGAAAAGATAAATTTCTTTTAAATTAAAAAATGTGGTATAATTAGTCTATCATATATACCTTTAAATAATCTATTATACATACATTTAAACACTTTGATTCTATTAGTGTATAAATTGCTAAAATTTTTTATGTTAGAATTAATTAGTAAGGCTTAGGCCTAGAAGAGAAGAACATCCAAAATGTTCGAGAGGAAATATTTATTACATGAAGAAAAGCATGTGAAAGATGTGTATGATTCTATATGACAGCAAATTCAGGATTTATAAATGAATAATGTTTATACAATGGACTATTACTCAGCTATAAAAAAAGAATGAAATCTTGCCATTTGCAACATCATGGGTGGATCTAGAAGGTATAATGCTGAGTGAAATAAGTCAGACAGAGAAAGACAGATACCATATGATTTCACTTATATTTGGAATCTAAAAAAACAGTGAACAAATAAAACAGAAATAGACTCATGATCACAAAGAACAGATGGTGGTTGTGATAAGGAGGGGCTGGTGGGAATAGATGAAATAAGGGGAAAAAAATTAGAGTGTTTGCTGTGTTGACCTAGGAGATGGTTACATGATTGTATACATATGTCAAATTTCATTGAGCTGTACACTGAGATTTGTGCATTTTATTGTATGTACCTCAATAAAAAATAAATTCCTTGATATAGTAAAAACCATGAGTAATGTTTAGAGTTATGCCATATTTTTGAATTTTTACATAGCCTTTTAACTTCCACTTAGGCTAGGACAAAGAAGAGTGCTGTTATTACCCTTTGCTTTGAACTGGATAAAAACAACATTAAGATGAGTCTTGATGGCACATTGATATCATAGAGAAAACTTAAGTTTCTCTAGTTTGGCCTGTAGGTGCCTTGCATTGATTGTTCGTATCTTTTACATAATTTTCACACTTTATTTTCAGAGCAACACCTCTATTATACCCATTTTACAGAAGAGAGATGTGAGGCTCATAAAATTTAAGAAATTTGTTTAACATACCAATCACCTTACCTTCTACTGCCCTATAACTTTTTAGAGGTTTACGGGTTTCTGCTGAGTATTAAGGTGCGGTTAGCTGAGGTGTAAGAGAAAGGTCATCTTTTTCTCTTCCCTGTTCTTACTAGAGTGATTCTATCTTGCATGTCTCTATTGCCAATTTTTTTTTAGACATTGGTCTCATTGCCACTGCTAATCTTTTTGTCTCATCTCTGCCATTTTAATGTTCTAACCCTCTTCTTTTAAAATTAATTTCCGTGCTTGTTGATTTTTGCCAAGACACCTCCTTCTAACTAATGAGGAAAACTTCTTGCCTTCCCTGTGACTCATGAAATAACCATAATATATTGAATTTCATCTTAAGATCTTCTGCTTTCTGTTTGCTCCTATTGCTAGGTACTTGGGCTATTTCCATTGCCTACAGGCTTAACCATGTGATTTGGAATTTTTTTGTTTTTGTTTTTGATAGGGAGGATGAGGTCCAAAGCCACTCAAGGAATTTGAGAGTTTGAAAGGCTGGTTCTCTAAATAGGTCATCTTTTTCTTGTATTCCGTCTTTGTAACACAGTCCACATTCTCTTCCATGAAATCTCACTGTGTAAAATTTTTTATCATCTCAGAAACCTCCACATGGATTCCAGAAAAAAATGAAGCTTGAGGTAATAGACAAAAGAAATCCTGTGTTTATTAGAGTAGCAACAGTCGCAGACACGGATGATCACCGAATAAAAGTAAGTGTTCTTTCTTGTGGTTTTGTTTTTCCTTTTGTTACAAGATATCTTGGATGGAAATTTCAGCAGATACTTAATTTGTGAAGTTCTGTAATTAGTAAAACCATAGGGATATGTAAATTAAGTGGTTGGGCATCTTAGGTAATGTTTATTCAGTTTTTCCCTTTCCTTCAATCTTTGCAAGAAGTGTTCTCTTTAGTTATGACTAACATTTAATAGGTTGGATCTGTATTCTTTCTTCAAAAACACACACTCAAAATATTATGTAAGTCACAATTAAAGAGAAAACTTTTATATAAATAATAAATTTCTTCTGACTATAATACCCCATTCTCTGACAGTATGTTCTTTTTTTAAAAATTGAATGTTAATTTTATTTTAAATAGAATTGTTAGACTTTTCACAAGAAAGGTACAGAAGTATAGTCTTAATACAGAACAAGAAAAGAGAATTTTTTAAATAAAATCAGATTTTAATTAGAATTAAATTAATTAAAATCAAGTCACTTTCATAAAGTAAGCAAATGGGAAGAAGATGGGTTCAGCTTGTAATGTCCAAGCATGATAAAATGAAGTTTAGTAATAGTCCAGCTGTGCAACCAGAAGTTCTTATCTTTCTTTCTGACTTCAACATTCACTTCGCTCTCAAACAACAATATGAGTTCCACTACTTCAAAGGATCATTTTGAATTTCTGTTGGGAAAAATTGTTACAATGACAGCAAGATGTTAGATGAACATCGTGTTTTTCAGGGGAACAGTGTTCTCCCATTATTTGACATTTGTGGTGTTAATAGTGTGGGAAATTTATGTTGCCATACTTTATCAATGAGGCTGAGGCTCAGAAACAGTAAATGAATTACTTAATTATGAAGAGTGGCAGAACAAAGTTACAGTCCTAAACTGTAGGAGTCTAAATTTATGCTCTTTTTTTTTTTTTAAAATCTCATCCTCAGCTATCTCAAAAGCTCAGATATATTTTTAAATTTTAAATTTATACTCTTCTTAAAAAAATCTCATCCTCAGCTATCTCTAGTGAGATTATATGTAAGAAAATAAATTATAAAATAACATGAAAAACTTACAAATGCATTATTTCTATAAAATAGAAATTATAACATTTAATTCACTGTTTTTAAGCTTATATATTCATATAACATTTTAGAAAATTCTATAAATAATAGAAGGCCTGTGTAACCTTTTTCAAGTGGATTTTCCTGTTAACTGTTCCTTTGTAATATTTAAGTCATAAAGTAAAGCAACCATAGTTTTTAGGACTAAAAGTATTTTTTAAATATTATTGACTGGTAATCAAAGAAATGTATAATTAAGTGAGATACTGTTTTAAAAATCGGTCAGAATTGAAAAAAATACATGGTTTGGGTGCATGAAATTTTACCTTTTATGCAGCTGGTAGGATATGAAGTGTCTCAGACTTTTTGAAGAGCAGTTTGACCATAGGCATCAAAGGTCTCAGAATGTTTATCCTTTAATTTAAAATTTTCAGTCCTAGGAATTTATAATAAGAGTATAAACAGAGAACAGGAAAAGATAAAAACTGCAAGGTTAAAAAAAGTAGTGGTGTTTATAGCATTTAACATTGGAAACAACCACTATAGGGGGATGCAGAGAAAATAAATTGCAGTGTATCTCTATAATGTTAAATATTTTAAGAAATATAGTTAATATTGGCAAGAAAAATCTAGTTTTATGTATGTTATCTGGTATTGTTCAATACAGAATATATGCATAAGCAATTATGGGAATAAATATACCTAAATAATGACAGTGCTTAGGGTGCTGGGATTATAAAGGATTAGGTTTTTTCTTTTTAATGAACTGGTTTCAGGAACACATACTACTTTCAGAATTTAAACTATAGACTAAGTTTATGATTTTGCATATGAGAAAATTTTGACCCACAGAGCTCAAATACTCTAAAGCAGGTGGTTCAGTTAGTCAACAGGAAAGTTTAGACTAGAACCCAGCTCTTTTTCCTTCTGGCTGAATTCTCTTTCCAGTGCAATCCTGGTCTATCTTTAACACCCCAAAAAAAGGCTGGCTGTCAGGTGTGTAGTTGACAGTCATCTTTTCACAATTACTGGAATGAATTCATAGCTACAGGTGAACCACTGAGCAAATATCTGTGTGTCTGTGAAGTCCTCAAAGGTCAGTGAACAAGTGACAGTGACTCGGTTTCAGGAGCCATCAAAAATTTCTGAGAGTATAAAAGCTTTCAGGAGTCAGAGTATTTCTAATATGGGAGATGATACAGCAAGAACACTTATTTTTCTTTTTCAAGAAGCAAGAAAATGGAGACCAAGTCATTAGTGCAGCTTAATATTTTAAGTTTCTCAGGCATACAATCCACTCTTAAGTTATATAAAATCAACCTTTTAAGTTACATAATATGCAGTATTTTACACCTTGAGTCACTACAATTAAAAATTTTTAATCTTTTCATATATTGTGCCAGATGCTATTAATGAAAAGCAGCCAGAGTATTTTTGTTTTTGTCTTCATGTTTTTAGGACAGTTAGACCCTAATACAGTCCTGTCCCCTCCCTCCCTCCCCCCATGTCTGGTTCCCCAGGGACAAGAACTTTCAATTATTTTAGCTGTTGTTTCTAACTTTTTTCCAGTTTTCTAAAATAATATATGTATTTTGTTATTTCTTAATCTATCAATTTTAAATATGGTTTATTTCCTTCCTGTTATAGTAGTTCAGGATTCAGGTCTACCATATTTCCCTTCCTTTTTTTTTTTTCTAGTAGTAATTCACAAGAGTTTTTTTTTTCTTCCCACTCTTCCATTTTAATGTTATTATGAATAATTAAATCATGTTCACTGCCAAGCAAAATGGACTTCTTTCTTGAAGCATATTTTCGTACTTGCATGTCTGAAAATGTCAAGATGCTAGTCTTACATTTGATTTATACTGTGACTAGGTATAAAATTCTAGGTCAAGAACCATTTCCTCTTAGAAATTAAAACACTGTTTTGCTCTCTTCTCACATTGGATATTGTTTTTTTTTAGATCCTAGGCAGTTCCTTAGATGTACCTGGCTGGTGTTCCTTTGCTCTCAGGGAGCTCTCAGGGCCATCTCTGTGTGTCTGATCGGAGGTTTTGTGATGACACGTGTTGGTGTAAGGGTCTTTTCATTTGTCATGCAGGGCACTCATGCCTTGTCACTGTGGAGTTTGATGGCTTTCTGTTTTCAGAAATGTTCTTATATGATTGCTTTGATAACTTCCTTTTCCTTCTCTTTGTTCTCTTTCTGGAAGTCCTGTTACACTGGTATTAAACCTCTCGGATTGGCCCCTTGATTTTTATTTTCATTCTTGTACCTGTCTGATTTTTAAGTTATATTTATTTATTTTAATTTTATATTTTATATATTATTTATCTGTATAAACTATATTTGTTTTATAACTAACTTTTTATTATATTTATTATTTAAGCAATATAGGTAACACTTAGAAATATCTACTCCATTTTCCAAACCTTACATTGCATTTTTAATCACAACTATTTTAAGTTTTCAAGAGTTTCTTCTTAATTTCTAGGGTTCTCTTCTCCCCCTTTTTAAATGGCAGGCTCTTTTTATTTCCTAAAGCAATTTTCTTATCTGAGGATACTAGTGATAATTTTTCTTCTGTTCCCTGCGTATTTCCTCCAAGTTCCAATTCTGTGGTTAATTAGTTTGTCCTCTGCTTTCATACTGGAGGCTCTCCTCAAATGTCAGGATCCTTGATTGGCTGTTCACATTAAGAAAAAGGGACTCAAAATTAGCTATTTTTCTGGGTGGGACTCATGACTAGTGTCTTCACTGTAGTATAAGACAGAAAAGAGTCAGATTTTTCACAGGGGATCCCCATTTGTCAGCATCTGGGCCCTTTGTTTGGAGCCTTCCAATTCCTGCCAGTCTCCTTCCTCAGGAAGGGGGAACTTCATAGCTGCTGCGTGAGACAGGGAGAAAGAGCTGGTTGAAGTGTGCAGGCTTTTGCCTAGTCCTGTGCTTTCTCTTCAACCCATCACCACATCACTTTTGTCCTGGAGTTTAGAGCCTCTGTAATTGTATTTCTCTGGAAGTAAGGCTCTTGTTTTTTTGCAGGGATGTTGAAGGGACACTTAATTTGGTGGGTAGGATGGGGCTGCAGATGTAAGGGTCTGCCAGTCCATATGGTCCGTATTCAGACTCTGAGCCAGTACTGTTATTTTTCAGACCCTACTCCTCATCTGCCTGCTGCCTCCAGCTGAGTCCTTCTTGGTTCTGCAGGGTGAATCAGTTCACTCTGACCTGTTCTCTAGGCACGTGGGTTGCAACCTACCCACTCTGTCCAGTAGGTTGACACCCCTTCACCTGGTTTGCTCTCCACATCATTGTCGCTCTTCACCTATCTGCATTCCTTCTCCATTTGTCCTTCTGGGTTTATACCTTTCTTCAGAAGAGAGCAAAGGCAACAAGCACTTGGGTCTAAAATGTGTTTTACTGAGCTACCTTTCAAATGAGGAGAAAATCCAACCAAATCATTTTTTTTAAAGCAATAGTGTGCTTTCTAAAAAATATTGTCCAACTCAACCTTGAGGTCAATAATATTGCATTAAATTTTTCAAAGTGTCCAAGTTACACTTCTCAGTGAAAACGTGTCCAATATATTAAACTATAATTTTAAACTTGTGTGAATTAAATCATCCATACTGTGATCCTCAATAGTCTGTTTTTTCTTCTCCTCTTTAAGATAATATCCGTGACTTCTTCCAGGTGTGAAATTCAGTGGGTTTTAAGTCTAGGATTAATTGACTTCTAAGCTTGAGAAAGTGGATTCATTGCAAACAACATTATTTTGAACCTATGTATATGTACATTAACAACTCTTTATACTATTTCATCATATAAATACACCATAATTTAGCTACCTGGGCTGCTGATGGTAGGCACTTTACTTGTTTTCTGCTACAAACAATGAGTTATTGAGATTATCGAGTCAAAGATAATGTATTTTAAGTGTTGGTTTTTGTTGCCAAATAACTTTCTAAAAATATCTCCCCAATTAATACTGCTGTCGCCAGTCTATAAGAATGCCCTTTTATTCTCAGATTAATTCAACAAGCTTTAGGAATCACAAAAATGGAATATTTTGGTCAGGTTGAAAGAAAGATTGCATCTTGTGGTTTTAATTTATAGTATTTAGTTCTAAGTGCAGTTGATTGTCTTTTATATGTTTATTAAACATTTGTATCTATTTTCTTGCTATGAGCCATTTATATCTATTTTCCATTTTTCTATTGGGTTTTTCATCTTTTTATATTAATATGTGATTTTATAAATTAAGAAACAGTGCATCATCACATGTGTAACCAATGTGTTTTTTGGGTTTCTCGTGGGTCTTCCATCTTGCAATAATATTTGCTGCTCTGAAGTTTTAAATTTTGATGTGGTAAAATTGATCAGTCTTTTCTTTTGAATATTTTTATGGCTTTTGAGTTTGGTGTCCTGCTTACAAAGGCTATTCCACTGTAAAATTTACAAATATAGCCACTCATGCATTCTTCTAGAACTTTTACTATCCGGTTTAATGAATGTTTTATCCATCTGGCATCTATTACCTTGTTTGGGGTAAGAGATTCATAGACTTTTAAAAAGGAAATCCAGCTGCAAATTTGATGTAAAGGTAAAAAATACATATGGCCTTTCAGTATATCCTTTTATCCTAAAAGGTAAAAAATGTGTAATTAAAAAATATACACAGCTGATCCTTAGTGAACCTATTTAAAAGACCTAACTGCCCTTTTACGTGGTGGTCAATAAAGATTGTAGCACTAATCACTCTGTTAGAGATAGTGTAATTATTTATGAGAAAAAATGCTATTTAAAAATGATTTGATGGAGGGATATTTTCTAAACTGGGTATACTTCTAAAAGGGCATAAGAAAGCCTTTTTGAGAATAATTCTAGGAGAGTTGACATTTATATGAAAGGTCTTTCTTTCTACCCTCCCCTCTCCCCCAATCTTCCCCTCTCTCCTGATTTATTCGTTACTTAAATAATATTTATTGGGAGTTTGGTGTTGCTCAAATGAAGGTATTTATGTACTCCTATTGCTTAATGGATTGAGAGATATGTGAAATGTATCTGTAGAAATATTGGCAAAAAAAGCGCCGTTGGCAGGACATTTATTGATGGTTCGATAATCTGAAGATAAATCAAAAGTGCCTTTTTTTCTCACAGTGTGAATGAAGTAATTTAAGTAATTGAAACAATTCATTTGGTATTAAATCTAGTATATAACTTAGAAGAGAATGAAAATGGGTACAGTGGGCAGAACTTATACCCTAAGAATTTTGTGACCCAAATTGTACCATTATTGTCCTTTCTGTTACCTAGGTCCACTTTGATGGCTGGAATAGTTGCTATGATTACTGGATAGATGCAGATTCTCCTGATATTCACCCTGTGGGCTGGTGTTCAAAAACTGGGCATCCTCTTCAGCCTCCTTTGAGTAAGAGACACAAGAATAACTTAAATGTTGCCATTTGCTTGCATAGTGGGCTTAATAATTTATTTTCCCATACCCTTCCCATTACTACTCTTTTCCCACTATACATTTCTTCTCTGTGTAATCCTTTTTCTTCTGACTATGTTTTTATTTAGATCGTAGTAACAAAATATAAAAGAAGAAAATTTTATATCTTAAAAAGTAAGTGTGTATAGACTTTTAACTTTTATTTAGAAGCAATTATCACCCTTTAAAATTAGTACTGAATTTTTGAAAGACAGAATATCAAAATGTAAGGTATCAGTGTCAGTATGGTAATAGTGATTTTATAATATAGTTTTGCAAAATGTACCATTGGGAGAAACTGGGCAAAGTGTTCAAGGGATGTCCCGCTGTATTATTTACAGGTGTATATGATTTACCTTAGTAAAAATTTCCATTAAATTCATTTTTTTTTAAATTGAGCACATGAGTGTACCAGAAACTTGATGTACCATAATCTCAATTTTGGAAGAAAATAGATATACTTATAGAAAAAAATAAGTAGGAAATACAATAGATTAGTGTGGGCTTTTAAGAAAATTTTGCATACCCTCCCCATCTAGAGTTATACTTTCTCAGTGCCACATATGAGAAATATAATGGCACAAAAATGCATGTACACGGTGTTTGTTACAATATGCTTAAAGTAACAAACCGTGGAAACAAATATTGGATAAATTATGGTGGACTCACACTACAGATAGTATGCAATAATCATAAATAATATTACTATTGATGGAATATTTAGGGTCTTCTATATATTGAGATGGAAAGATCTATTAAGACATGCTAAATATGAAAGAAAAACATTTCAGAGTAGTACATATATATGTGGTCCCCTTTATGCAGCAAAAGAAAACAAAACCAAAAACTAAATGCATGTATAAATACAAATGTAGGTGCCTGTGGGAAAGCTTAGAGCAACATGTAGTACATTACACTTTCATATAATGGAAGTCAGGACCAGGGAGGGTATAAAATGTGCAGGGGAATAGTTTAAATGGGATCTGTAACTATTTTTCTGTATTCCAGTGTGGTGATTGCAAATTTCACAGTGCACAAGTATCATGTTGTATTAATTATATTACTGATTTGAAGAAAACTGCTTAGAGTCTCCTCATTAATTCAGACTTAGGTATCTCTGAAATTTGTGACACTTTGAAAGAGGGTTAGATCAAACTTCCCTATTTCACTATCAAGGAAGGATAAATAGTATGAACAAAGTCATAGGGAAAACCTTGAAAAATAAAGACTTTTAAGATGTTTTTAATTTTACAGGATTTACTTCTTTTTCTGTTTTCATGTGCTGATTCAAAAATTGGATTTTTTCTTTCATGTTCTGATCCCAGACATTTGACTCTTATAACCCTCTGGCTAACTTTATACCCTTTCTTTCTCTCTCTCTCTTTTTGTTTTGGCTTTTTTTATAGGCCCCTTAGAATTAATGGAGGCTTCAGAACACGGTGGATGCTCAACCCCAGGCTGTAAAGGAATTGGCCACTTTAAGAGGGTGAGACACCTGGGCCCTCACAGGTATGTAGAGCTGCCACTTCTGCTAGAGGTTCCTTATGTGGTCAAATAGAGACTGTCTGTCCCATGTATGTCGAAAATAAAGATTTCCATGTATACTAAATAGATGTGAACTAATTTTATATGTAGATCTATACAAAATGTGGTTACCATGGTGATGCTGTAAAAATGAAGCGTATATCCCAGGAAGTTACATCTTCCTGGGAGAAAATACATTCAGTTTAAAATAGATTTATTCTGGCTATTTGGCTTTTCTTGACAACCTGACTAGTTTTACAGATACTTAGTACCTGAAATAGGCATTTTGGGTTGACCATTAGTAATGAAAAGAGGTCAGGCCCTGTTGGAAATATTTGGTAGAATATTGTATGATTGGGTGACTCAACAATTTGAATAATGAGAGGTGAGATTATTTATTGTATGTTCCCACCAAAGCTCACAAGAAGTGCAAATATAAATAGCCAAATGTGAGAATGCATTGGTCAAAAAAGGTGTGTTTCAGTATTTTTCTTGTACCCCTAAATACCTTAAAAAAGAAAGAAAGTTTATACATTTGAAATTTGATGTATTGCGTAGGCAATTTGTGGGTAGATATTAAAAATATTAGATAGATATTTAAAAATATTACTGAAATACTAGGAAATTCCTGTTGATTTAACTGGGATTTTTTGGGAGCAGAAGCATTACTTATTTAGGTGTGTATTAAAATGATAATTTTTCAGCTTGAGTGTTCTATCTGCATGTTAATTGGATTGCCTAGTGAGAAAAATGATTCCTTGTTTATCTAGTTTGTGTAGGTTGTTGATCTAGGTCTTTCAAAAACCTAAAGTTTATAGTACCTGTTCCTCTAAAGTTTAATTAAACAGTTGTAAAAATGGTGTGATTATTCTCATGTGAATATAGTTTTTTCTTTCTTTCATCTTTTCAACCTCAGATCCTGCTTATATTCGTTTTACAACACCCCTTCCAAGTTTTTTATGGGGTTCAGTATTTTTCAGAGTAAAAAGTCTGAACAAAATCTGATGATTTCTTTGCAAATATCCATTTAAAAATCCTTTTCATTGTTGCTGTGACTGCAAACCAAAAGTTATATGATTAAACTGAGTTAAAAATACTGCATCTTGAAAGTTATTCAGTATTGCTGAATGAAGACAGCTGGATTAGTTTTCAGACATTATATAAGGCTAAATGCCAGAAGTAACTCATTGGCATGCTAAATCCATTATATAGTCATAAATTCTTTTATTTAGTTAGTATTTTTGAGCACGATTTACTCTATGAGGTATTGCTCCAATTTTTTCACATGTATGGGATAGCATTCGTAACTACCCTGTAACATTGAACTATTATTTTCCACCAATTTTTGATGAGGCCACCCTGAGACAGGAGAGGTTCACTAAGTAACAGCTGATGAGGACAGCAGGGAATGGTACCCAGTCTAACTCAAGGCTCTGATGCTCTTGACCACTTCCTTCTCAAGGCACTCCTCTGTGAATTAGTCACAATCACAACCTTCAGAGAGTTCAGGGACTAATGGAGCTATAAGTGCTGAACATAATTTAATTAAAATATAAGATACAAAGTAGTAACCAATAGTAAATTTTGAAACATGTACCTTTCTGTTGTACAACCCCAAGGTGTCTGTTAAACTAAAAGCAATTTGCTGAAATGATGAAGGAAAAGAACCATGTTTTAAAAATGGATAAATATGAACACAGTGTTGTGGTGCAATTGAAAACTTTAAAAATATTTTTCTGGTCTTCTGGAAAGGAAGCCCACCTTATAGCAATGTCTGTGGTCTCTTTAGGAGTGCTTTAGGTATGAGTGGAGAGATTTGCCTGTCACAGTAAGGTCTGTGGTAGCAGTCCTGTTCCCTGCCTGATGGCATCTGCCACTCATTAGGACCACCTTTCCCCAAGTGTGCCATCGACCTCTTAGCAACCTTCAGCTGGGCCAAGACTCATTTCACAAAGTGTCAGTGATTATCTTTGGAGCATTTCCTTCAGAGATACAGTGCTACAAGGGAGAAATTATGGGGAGAATCATAGAAGAGTTTATGGAGAAATGTGTGAAAGAAGTCTTTCAGTATAATTGGAACCAGGATGGACAATGACTCTTTTTTTTTAGAAAGAGAGAGGAAGAAGTGGACTTTATGGTTTTAAAGACATGCATTGGTCGAGAAGCTGTGCTCATTCCCTATCATACAAAGGGCATAACTAGCAGATCTGTGCCTAAGTCTGGGGCCGAGCTATCAGTTGACCAGGGCCTCAGGGAGAAGGGATGCCATTCAGAGAACTAGTGGGCACCGCCATCTCCGGCCTGAGTCCTGTCTTCACTTCTCAGCCCTTTTGCTGGCTTTTCCTAGCCTTCCTGACTCTGCTCTCCTATTTGCAGCATTCAAAGCTCTTTATCTCGCAGGATGTAATCCTCAACAGGCACCGAGTGTTTTCCATTTCATTAGTAGACTTGTGGAATAGCTGCTGCATCATGGATATTCTCTGAAAGGTTCATTTCACTGACACTTATTTTTGTCCATGCTGAGAATGCTGTGTTTAGGAAAACATAATGAGGAAATTCTCTTTGGATTAATTTACTGAGAAAGTACATAAATCAAAACATGCATTCTTTGCTTACATAATAAGGAAAGTTGCTCTTTTAGCAAGAATAATCAATTTTATGAACACGTAAGCAAAATTCTGTTTTGACTAGCAGTTGTTAGTGTCTCTGAAAATCACAATTACTGAATTTGATCTAAGAAGTGTTAGAAATAAAACATGTCTCAACAATGAAATTTGAGAATGTGACATTTTCAAATGTTGAAATATAAATAATCAGTGAGTGAGTTGGATGTGGATATGGTATTCTCATCTCTAGGGATAGTCAGTAGCCAAATTGCTTAATTCTGTCTCTCTAGCAAGGGATAGAGAGCAGCCAGTAAGTTGGTTGTGTCACAGTGTTTTTTCCCTTGACTGAGTTCATTCAGTTGGGCTGCTGAATGGTCAAAGAATGGAAGGAGATTAGAGGAGAACTTAAGTTATATAAAAATAGGTATTCTACATATCTAGTGCCTTCATAAGTAAATCTTTTCTATGTAAGATTTAATATTAGAGAAATTAAACAAGAAAAAGAATAGAATATTTCTAACAACCTCTAAAGGATATTTATAAAGACCGTGGTAAGTTTTAAAATTAGTAACTCTGTATGCACATCTGCAAACTAGAAACATCATATTAATTCACCATCCGTTCATCCATCTAGCACTTTTTGAGTGCCTGTTTTGTGCCAGGTACTGTGTTGAGTGATGGGCTGTACAGTAGAGAGGACCACTACTTTGAAGGAAGCCAGTCTGGTGTAAATAGGTTTTCGCAGAGGCAGGAATGATGTGGCACTCAAAGAGAAACATCAGTTTTTCCTGAGGGGAGCAAAAATAATTCATAAATGGGCAAAGAAAGGTTAAGTGTTGGCTTCACACATATTCACAGTATGATAGCAGCATATTGCTAGAAGATGGTACTCTCAGGTGGATTTAATTGTCATGGGTTAAGGATAAGGAAATGCTTCAATACAGCAAGGCAGTACCCACCCTATAGTAAACAGGAGACAGCCAGAGCTCGTCATCCCCCCCACTACCAAGAACTGATTGAGTGACACTAAGCAAGTTGCCGTTTTAAAGCCTTGGTTTCTATGTCTGTAGAATGAAGATTAAATAGGCGCTGCTCCCTAGGGACATGAGAGCTAACCGAGCAGATGCAAGTAAAGCAGGCAGCATGGGTCGTTTTTTCTCTCGGTCCACAGACGTGATCACTCTCACTTTACAAATGAGAAAATGCAGCCTCAGGAGCTGTGTTCCCTCTCTATGAGGCAGGGGATAAAGCAGCAGAGCACATTTATCAGCAGGTTCCTGACTGTCCGGGGCATGGCCCACCCCTCGGGACACCTCGCATCACTTGAACACACTTGGTCGGCATTTTGTGACGCCCCCTTTACTGACTGTCCCCCACTTCAGAAACTAGCTGACTTCACTCTCTGCCCCCAAAATAGGAGGTGTGACTTTTCTCAGAGATCAAAAAAAGAGATGATGTTAGCATAAAATCTGTAGCTCATTGTCAAGGGGCTCCCTTGGTAGATCGTCCTGGCCCATCAGTAAATCCCTGCCTGGATATATCCTATAATCCCTACTGTCTATCCTCTTTTCACTTATTCAACACACAGATGAAGGGGCTGCTGCCCTTGTAGATCTTACACTATAAGACTTCTAAGCAGTAACTATACTGTGGTGTGTAGTTGGGGACCCAGCCCATCTAAAACTCCTATGAGTCTTCCCAGTGGGAGTGGTGAGTGGGGTTAGGAACAGGATTCACATTTTCTTTTCTTCATATTTGATAAAACTCCAAGGTGAATGTACAGTCAGTAATTGTAAAGCCAGATGTTTCTGAGTGAAACATATGATGGTTGCAATATTCTAGGAATAGTAGCATACTTGTTTGTCCAAGATAACCAAAAATATCATATTTGGATTTTTTTCCTGTTGTCACAAAATGCAAGTAGATAAATTTAGTGTTTAGTGTTATGCATTAGAAAAGCGTAATATGGGTATGAAAGAATAGAATAGAGTCAAAGATAACTAAGGTCTGAGGCTTGGTTAATATATTTGCTTGTCAGAAACAAAAAAATCAAGAACAATGGGAGGGACTATTTGTATTTATCTTTTTTTTTTTTGACCAAGGGAAGGGAGTTCATTGAAGATGATGTATTTTATTTTAAATATGTCTATTACAAGAAAACCCTACAGCACTTGTGTTTGCCTCAAACCAAGATAGGTGTTAGGTAGGGTTCCACCTCCCCTACGGGAGCCACGGGGAGTGGGGCCTCTCCTTTCCTCAAGCTGGTGACAGTTGCAGGGCAGGCAGACGACCTGAACGTTGCGAGGCAGGCGCCGCTCTGTGGTCCTTCTGTTGTGAGTGTGTGCGGGCAGGCCAACTTCGTGTTTGCAGCCTCTGTGGACGCAGTTGAAGGTCTGAGGAGAGTGGCGAGACCATTTCTGGGGGATGGTGCTGGCTGGACCTTCCTTCCTGCCCGAGCTGATCGCCCCGCCTTCCTGCTGAGTTGTCTGATGCCCCTGCACTGAGTTTATTTCCATTCAAGTTAGGCAGAATTGGTTTTATCACGTGTGTCCGTGAACACCGGCGACTGCAAATATCCCAGGAAAGACTGTGAAACCCTTGAAGGTCATTGTTCAGAAGGGGCGTTGTGGTCAGAGATGAGGTTTCCTGCACATCATAATTATGTGAATAAATTGAAATAAAATAGTATGCCCATTCTGAATGTGGTGAATGAAATAGCATGCTCGTTTCACTGAGCTCCTTCCCTGCTTGTGACTGGGCTCGAGCAGCATGTCTACTTGGATGTCTCATGAACATTCTGCAGTTCCTGATTTTGTCCCCAAATCTCCTTCCCTTTCGTCATTCTCATCTTGGGAGCAGAAAAGAAGGCATCCCTATTACCACCCAGTTTTTCAAGCCAAAAACCTAAAGGCCACTCTTACCTCCTTCCTTTATTTCATTCCCTGTCTCCTCTCCATCCAAAGGTGCCCCTAGAGGGATCACACAATATACCATAATGTCCCCTTTACCTGTATTTCAGCCACCTAAATCCAAGTCACTGTCATATCCTAATCCTTGCATAACTTTTCTTGTTCCCTGTCTGTCTCCTTGGATTCTCCACAAACCATCGTGAATGATTCTTTTAAATTGTAAATCAAACCATATCATTCCCTTATTTGAAAGTCCTCGGGTGGCTTCAAATCGAACCTAAACATGAACTCATGACTCTGGCCTAGCAGGCTGTGTATAATATTTCCCCTGCCTCCTTCTAGTTCATCTTCCCTTGCTTACTACTACACTCTAACATCACTGGTTTTCCCCTCAAACATGTGGAACTTTCTCTGCATTTGTACTGCTCTTGCCACTTCCTGGCCTTGAGAGCATTGCTCAGATTCTACTTTTTCAGGGTCACCTGTCACAGCCCTACACTCTGTTGTCATACTCCACAGCATTTGTCTCTGTGTGAAGTTGTCTTATTTGCATAATAGTGTTACTGTGCATCGTCCCTCCCTCCCAGAATATCAGTTCTGTGAGATCCCAGATCTTTTTATTTTCCACTGTGTTTCCAATGTCGGAAAGATAATTAGCACATAATAGATACTTGATAAATGTTGAATAAATGAATGAAGTAATTAAAGACTGAAGTTATCTAACCATTTTAAGCCTTAGTTTGTCATGTAAGAAGCTTTCCTCATAGGGCATTGGGAAGATTTGGTAAAATGCTGCTTGTAAAGCACTTGGCACTGTGTTTGATATATAGTAAGTGCTCCATAAACACTATTAGTTATTGTTTTTTTTTAATTGCTGTTGGGTTAACATTATATACATTTATGTCAACACAGGATCAAATCTTACTTACTTTCATCTTTTGCATAGATACCAGTGTAGAGTAGCATGAAGTTAAAGAAAAAAAAAGATTGTGTTTTTGATGATAAGATATCTGTGATAAATTTTATAGGCCATTCTCAGAATCACTTGGGAGCATTTTCAAACTCCACCTCCTCCTAGGATATATCAGATTCTCTTGATGAGGGTAGACACATACTATTTAAATTTTTCCCTAGGTGATTAGCAACATTCCCTCTGTCACCTAAACAGAAGAAAAGAACACCTACGACACTACTTTAATTCACCTAAGTTCCAAACCATTTCCAGATTTAAGGAGGCTTCCTAAATACAGGGCAAGATAGGCAGTTAGTCAGAGGGGGTGACTGTGTATTGGGAGCCTGATGTGTGGAGGTTGCCTAGTTGTTATGAAGACTGAGGAGGCGACCCTGGCTAATGTCAGATTAACAATTAGTGGCCAAAGATGTCCTTTGTTTGCATAACAGAAATGATCCCAAATGGGACCTGAGGGGCCAACCACTCAGTGGTCACCCGTGGAAGGGAAGTTGTTCTCCAAGTTGGCATTGGTCTCATTATATTGGGGACAGGATTAACTACAACTGTTATATGGATCCTCTTGAGGATCAGGTGTACATTGAGACCTGGAGACAGGAACGTGGGCAAACCCCCTTCCTTTGCAGGGCACAGCTATTATAAAGGATGTTAAACAGTGTGTGATAATCCTGGTCCTGGAGTATCACTTTACAAACAGACCTGGTCCATTCATCTGTCCAGCTCCCTCTGCCCCATCTCTACCACCAACCCTTTGGTAATGTCTTAAGCATTTCTTGCTTGGAACTGATTGTTCTCACAAATATGCCCTTGGACAAACCAGGGGGAATCCTTCAGTGACCATTGCTCAATTTCATAGATTTCAGGAGGTTGTTCCTAAAAATCTACCACAAAGACATATTTTCTAATGGAATATACTTAAATTACTATGTCTTAAAGTATTTCATACTGCATGTTTAATCATACATATATAAGTATACACAATGTATTCAGTTCTGTTTTGCGATTTTATATTCTGTAGCCTGTTGTTTTAATTGGAAGAAGTAAGTGTGTTCTTATGGAAATGTTATTTTCTTTTTCTTTTAATCTTTCAGTGCTGCCAACTGTCCTTATTCAGAAATCAATTTGAATAAAGACCGAATTTTCCCAGACCGCTTAAGTGGTGAGATGCCTCCGGCTAACCCATCATTTCCGAGAAATAAAAGGACAGACACAAATGAAATCTCTTCATCTCCTGAAATCAGGTAATTAAAGTGATAATATTAGTGTTGTTTAGAAGTACTCTGGTTGAAAGAGGTTTTCTATCTTAGGTGTTTTTATGTTCTATGTTAATGTTTTCTTTGTGCATTATTGAAAATGCATCTGACTCAATGTGAGATGATGGTGGGGATCAGTACTTGGACTTTAAAAAAAAATAGGCAGACAGTTTATAAAGGCATATCCAAATCAGGCAGGATTTCTTCTTACTTGTTCATCTTTTAGTACAACTTGTTTGGTGTTAGTTTGGAAATTCCAGTCATTTTATTTCATATCAGTTCATATTTCTGAATGAACTGCTCAGTGTTTGTGTAGAGCCATCTTTTATGAGAAAGACAGACAAGAATTCTTGTAAAGAATAGACATTACTTCTTTTTAGTGTTCATTATATGCCAAGTACTTTCATATACCTTAATTCATTTAATTATTAAGCTGATAATTGTACTGTAAGCTCAGTTGTTGGGTTTTGGTTTCACCTATACAGTTGAGTTGCACTGTGTTAACCTCAATGGATTATTAAGTAAAGAGCTGAATTTTGTTTGACATATCTTTAAGTAAATTGTCTCTGTCCTTATATTAACTGAGGATACTACTAACAGAAAGAGCAGATGACTAGAAAGATGCTCCTTAGTGCTTAGGTTTTGGGGTTTCTTTTATATGGAGTATTTTAAAACCTAAGAAAACATAGTTCTTTGTTTATTTTAATATTTTATGACTTCCATTCTTATGGATGAATCAGGTGGACATTTGAATTAATAAATGTGATTCTAAATTCACATCAGTGTTATTGGAGTAATGGCATTTCAAGTATCATCATCCTTGTAGAAAAGCCATTTTGCGCTATTGATGGGGGGAGCTGTAACTTCTTTAATTATTAATTATCTTAAATTATTAACAACAATGATAATGTTTTTTTACCCTTAAAATGGTGACTAATGTAACATAAACTCTTTTACCCGACCCAGCAGCTGAGCATGAGGGTATATCATTTGAGGGAATTTACTTTAATACAAATAAAAGTACTAATTCAAATAATAATAATTACAGGTACAGAGTTCATTGATTCACAAGGTGGTAAGACAACCTAGAGTTTAGATATTTACAAGCCAAGGTAGATTTTTTACATACCTTGGCTTGTAAAAGTACCAAGGGAACACTCCGTAGGGCCAGCACCCCATCTCACAGGCTTTTCACTAACTGTCTGGGCTCTGGACCTGTAGCTGGGCCCAGAGTCTCCTCACCATGAAGAGAGGTAGTTAGTTAGGATGATTTCTTGGGGTCATTTTTAACTCAAAACCCATGTAAGAAAAGGGTCATTTTTATAGTGCATCTAATAACCATTCCAGTGATCTGTCTACTGTGAAGGTGTGATCATGGTTCTTCATGCCATCACTGTAATTAAGGGAGCAACCTTAGGCATTTTCCCATTGCTATAGTAACCATCACACATGTTTCCTTCAGTGTTTCACAGAAATGCTTTTCTGCTACATAGATTTTTTTAGTCCATACCATCTTTTGAGTTAATGAATTTCTAACCTGTCAGGACTTCTGTGTGAATTAACACTTACTTGTGTTAAAGTTAAATTTCTTCAAGTACTAGGCCTTTGTTGTTGGCTGCCAGGATTGTAAATCAGTGTCAGATTATTCATGGTTTTAGAGACTTTGTTGAGATTTCTTCTTTCTTCATCTTTTCAGATTTTTTATTTTTGTTTTATTTATTTTTTTATTGCTAGGATTAACCTGAGAGATTTGATTAGTTACATGCAGTCAAAGGAAACATGAGGGAGATGATCCAAATGACCTCTAAATTTTTAAGGCAAACATTTATTTATTTGTTTGTTTGTTTGTTTTTATTAAGGTATCATTGATATACAGTCTTGTGAAGGTTTCACATGAGCAACATTGTGGTTATAACATTCACCCATATTATCAGGTTCCCCCCACACCCCATTGCACTGTCATTCAGCGTAGTAAGGAGCTATAGAGTCACTGTCTTCTCCATACTATATACTGTTAAAGGCAAACGTTTTTGACCAAGATTTTTTTCTTGCTTTATTTTTTATGCAGAAGTATTTTTAAGAGATGATTGCAGCTATTTTGATATTCTAACCTAAATACTTTATTATGTATAGTTTTTAAAATGGTATTTTGCAAAATAACAGATTTATTTGCTCTTTTACATTTTAAATCTCTTCTTGTTAATATTTTTAAGTTGGCTTCTGGTTATTTTATTGTTTCTTCTCCAGGTAGTTGCTAGTTCTCATAATAATCAAAGTGGCACATGACATTTTAGACGTAATGATAATGGGGTGGCAACATAGCAAATGTTAATAAATAAAAGAAAGGTTGTTAACCAAGAAGTATATTTTAGGACTTGGGGATAGTTGATTTAAGATAGAATAAACAAGGTGAAATTAGCTGGCATCTGTGTTGTTAGTGAATCTGTAGGAACATATTTAATTAATACTTTTTAATTTTAAAAGCAAACATAAGATTTTTAAATTGCTGATTTCTTTAATATGGTCTTAGGAATTATACAGTGAGTTGTGCAAAGTTCTGAGAACAGTTAGCTTTAATTAATATTATTGCAAGAGGAATAGGTTATTTGTTTCACTGTATCTTCTTTATTCTGGAGGAGAAAAAAAAAGGTGGGCCCATTTCTTTGATACTTTTGGGTAGGAGCACTCAAACAGGGTTATTCTCACATTATCAGGATTATGTTCTGTCTTTTCCTATCATCACTGCTCATGTGACTGGCATTTCCCACTTGGGTTTTTAACACATTTTCTCTGCTTCCTTCCTAATAGTTTGCTAAAATTTGGTTCCTAGACTCTACCGGTTTTTTTTGTTAATGCACTTTGGCACAGCAAGAGACAGTTTGCACCCCCAAAGCAGATCAAGAGATAAAGATTTTAATTCCAAGTTTTTTACTTGGGTGGTAAGGAAAACCTCAGTAGGGGAATGAGGAAGTGAGACAGGGAAGGGAAGACAACCAGTATAAAAGCTTCGGTGTCACACGGGTTACCCCCATGGAGAGTGGAACCCAGTCCTGCTGGGAACACTCTGGGAGTCTGTGTAAAACATATCTTAGGGTTTTCCCACCACAGGGGTGAGGGAGCTGAGCTATTTAAACACCGGTTTCCTTCAATCACACAGTGAGGCTGCCCGGGGAGGAAGGATATGCTGATTCCCCAGCACATCTGCCCTGCTGCACAGCAGGCGGAGCAGCCAGAGCCTGGGTGAATCCTGCAGGAGAGCAGAGCAGGAGAGACAGACAGGAGTTGGCTGCCACAACTGAAGGGGAAGTCGGCGGCCAGGTGATGTGGGCCAGGCACTGACAACATCTCTGCCATCCCGTTCACCCATTTCAGATGCCAGACAGTCACCAGAATGAGTGATATGCTGATGTTGCTTTTAATCCTGACATAATACAGCCAGATCAATTAACAATGCCAGGATCATGTATATGCTTTTCATACCATAAACATCACTTTAAGGGTCAGTTCACTGGCCACCTGCTCAGAATAGACCTTGAGCAACTAATATTCCACAGCAGTAGGTTCCAAATGTGGCTTCACATTAGATTCCCTGGGACCTCCTTAGAATTCAGACATGGGGGTAGCCCTGCCCACCAGAATCCTATGGGCTATTGCCTAATAGTCTGTGTTTTAAAAATTCATCTGGCAGTATATCTCCTTGTTTAAAACTTTGTGATTTTCATTACTCTTGGAATTAAGACCCTGATTCTAAACGTGGCCTACCCAGTCCTGTGTTATCTGGTCCCTGCCTTACTCTCCAGCTTTATCTCTACAAGGCTTCTTTT